TGGACATAGATTTTTTTATTTTTTTTTTTTGAGTCAGTGTTTAATATCAATAAAGAAAATAGTAAAAATACTTTAGAGCACGGAAAGGATGGATATCTATAGACAGCTTAAATACATACGAAGCTCATAGCTGTATGCAAAGCAGTGAATGTTATCCTGTTCCCCCTCCCCCCAAGCAATGGAAGCTGAATATATTTGGGCAAAGCATCAGTGTCAGTGCAACACATGTGGAAGGAAAAGGGCACAAAGCCCTGGAAATGCAGGTGGGAAGGGAGCTAGCATTACACTTCCCATCACTGAGGAGCACAAGGTGTAGAGATTTAGCCAGTTCAGCTCGCCTATCTTTAAAAATTAGCTGCATCACCAGATGAAGGGTCATGGATTGCTGCCCCTTCTGACAAAAGAAACAGGAGTTATGCGCAGCAGGGGTGATTTTTATTTGTAAGGGTGCCCTAAATTATGATAAATTCCCAAACCTGGCCAGCAGGCAGAATAATTTCCAGAGTTCTGGTTAACAAGGAATGTTTTGTGGGATTTTAGCAGATACTCTCCTGTGCCCCCTGCCCAGTCCTCCCTTGCTCCGTGCCACAGATATCCTAAACAGCTTCCTTGGAATTTGGCACCTGAAGAACCGCTTCTGACTTGGTGGCATTTGGAAGGACTGGAATTGAGTGTTTCAGCAACAGCTGTGAGATCAAGTGACTCAAGGAAGGTGCAAAGATGATTGGACTCTATGGATGCTCTTGCCTTTGAAAGGCAGTACAAACCTGCACAAGTTCATGGCATTACTGTGCTTCCCAGCAGTGGTCACACCTCAGGAGGGAAGAGTCCACCCTCAGCACTGGTGAGAGCTCCTGCCCTGGGGATGGCACCTGGGAGTGCCTGGACAGTAAATAACTTGGTGCATGGAAAGGGCCTCCCTTCACTTATTTGATTGTATCCCTCCCACATCTCCTTTGCTCTGAGTTTCTCCAAGGAAAAGGAGACAGAGGGCAAACCACTGGCAGGACTGCTTCCCTGCCTGCTGTGAGGAAGGTGATGGTGAAGCTGGCATGGGCTTTCCCAAGGGATATACCTGAGCCAACAGAAGCCAGTTCTCTTGTCCTGCCACTCAACCCATCTGCAGTGGGACTGCAGTCAGATTCGTACCCACTCCGGTCTAAAAATGATACAAGAAGCTTGGCCCTTCCCCCCCTCTCAGGGCAAAGCCAAACCAGGAATATGCCTACTTGCAGCTCAGAGTTTGCTGGAGATGCAGAGGGAGGAGCAACGGCAAAACTGATTGTCTCCAGGTAACCAAAACAAAACGGACAAGACCAGTTCCATTTAAAGTGCTTTATGGCATCAAACCGATGTCAAGTTACATGTTGAGATGATCACTTCATTTAAAAGAAGCTAAGGCCAACCCCACACAACTCCAACAAGTCTCACACCCTCTGCTACAGCTACCATCTATCACCGGGGTATTCTGACACCCCCAGCTAATACTGACCACTTCTGTACTTCATCTGACCCACAATCCCACTTTCTCTGGACACTGAAATCCCTCCTGTTTGGCAGTGGCAAAGACCAGGCACAGAAAAGCCTAAGAAAAAACAAATCTGATTTCTGCCCTCCATGAAACACCAGCACAAACAGGGTCCTCTTTTCCCTCCAACAACGTGGGCTTTGCACAGACATTTCTGAACCTGCTCTGTGTCCCAGGAAGCCCATACAAAATAAGGTGGTTTGGGTGTTCCAAATGGGATCAAGGGACTGGCTCTGGGAACCAGACGCAACACCAGGCTGGGCTGAAGAAATAACGAGCTTTCAACAGCTTCAGGATGGATGCCAGGTGTGGAACTGGAGCAAATGCAATTTTAAGGCCAGGAAGAGGAAAGGCTTTGGTGCTGTAAAGCTGGGACCATACTGCAGCAGACAACCCAAGGCAACCTGCAGGGATCAGAGCAGGAATCTGACTCCAGGAACTTATGCCAAGCCTTTCCAAAGAAAACCTGAGAGGGGAAAAATAAAAAGCTAAAGAGATAAAACCAAGCCCTTACCTTCCTAAAGGTGAAAGAAGAAGGAAGCAGTGTGGGAGGAAAGGCTTCATTCCAAAAAAGTGAATCATAAAGTAACAGACATCCTCCAGGGACAAAGGTCTGTCCACCAGAGTTTAAGACACAAACAGCTTTGATATACATGATTTCTGGTCAGTGTATTTCTGACTCACACCTGTGGCTTCTGTCAAGGAACCACAGGGACCTCCGGAGATCACTCAGCAAACACTATTTTCACTTAGGGCACTGAATGCTCTTTTTGATTTGCACAGGTCAGGAGAGAGGGTGAAGCCAGGCAGAGGCTCAGCCCTGCTGCCCTGGGTCACACATCTGCCTTTTGATGCCTTTCTCAGAGCCATGGGACATTCCTGTACTGTGAATCCAAGATGTGTTGGGACAGTGGGATAAAATGAAAAGCTCATAGTGGCAAAGGCTGTTCCAGACTGAGGGGAACTCTCAGGCATACTGGGGCCCTGATCTCTGTTCACACAACAGTAAATGAGCCATGCACTGCTTTGGTTTCCAAAAATTTCAGCTTGGCACATTCATGTTTGTAGATGTATAAATAATAGGGCAGAAGTTATTTTCTAAAATTGGTGGTTTTATTATGAAAAAGGTAACACCGCACCACCAGCACATTCCTCCTTCAGCTTCCCTCGGGTTCAGGAGAGGAGCTCCTTCCATCTCCCTGGAGAAGTGACCAGACCCTCAGATCACTGCTTTGCTTTTTTCTTTGCCTCCAAAAGGTATGAGAAAACCTAACCAAAATATTTAAACAAGGCAACTAACTGATAGGAAGAGCCTTGTCTGAAGTCACTGCGTCTTCTTCCAAACTTCTTTTGGCCCAAAGGTGCTCTGCCTTAAAGAAAGCTCTCAGTTGAAATTGTGTAACTCTGGGCACGGCACGAGCTGCAAAGCAGCACTGCCCAAACCCTGGTTTTGTAGGAACCAGGGAGATAAGAATATTTGGTTTACCAATCTTTTGGTAAGAAAACAAAACAAAAAAAAAGGGGGGGGAGGAAAGAGAAAAAACCCAAACCATCCCCCAAACAAAAGCAAAAAGAAATAAAAAAATAAAACCAAGTAAACTCCTTTTTAAAAAAAAAACTCTTTCAAATAAACAGAAAGATAAATATTTTTGCAAGCCCCGCTTGCAATTAAGAACAAGCACCAAAATAATATTAAAAAAAAATCAAAATACAAATAATTTCAAACTTTTTTCCTTTCTTCCTCTTTTTTTTTCTTTTTTTTTTTTTGAGTCTTAATAGTGTAGAGAGCTTCAAAAGCAAGCAGGTGCTTGAGGGTTCCTGCACTGACCAAGACAGCCCAGCCTAAGCATCCATCTCACCATCAATGCTGCTGATACTCATCAGCACTAACTCTGAAAACTGCTGTGGGTTACCAGCTCGTGAGAAGCCAGAGAGCAAACTGAAATCAAACAATAGGGCAAGAAGAGAAATGGTTTGTTATTTTACAGAAAAAAAAAGTCACGAAAGGAAATACACTTGACAGCTTCAAACTCTGAGCAAACCCTTGAGCTATTTTGAAGCTGGTGGCGTCTTGTAACCATTTACAAATCCATTAGTTCTCCTGAGAGGGTTTGGAAGAACAATAATTTTGGAGAACAGTGTGGCTCTCTGCATTTCTCTTCCCCTGCTGAACACATCCCTGTATTCAACAGCTGTACAAACACCTCAGTTGGCACAGGGAGAGCTGCCCTCGGACCTTCCCCTTCTGCTGATGACAACACAGGGACACACAGACATTTTCACCCTAGAGCCCACAGTGACCTGCCACACTGGACCTTTGGACTGTCCCACAGTGGTTTTGTCCATGAGAACATTTTTCTCCCCAGAAATAATTACTAAGTGCATGGTATTGTACAGCCATAGGGATAGGAGCCATCTCTTTGGAGTTGGCTCTGCTCGCAGCACACAGGCCCCTGACCCATGATGTCTCACTGAAGTGTTCTGAGACTGCTGTTCTCTCATTCTGCCTTAGAAAGGAGCAAGGGAAGCCGACAAAATCCAGGGAAACAGAAGCCCAATGTTAACATGAAAAGCGGGCTACGAAAAATACAAATAACAGAACAAAGGTCCCTAAAAACAGATTTTTAGCCATCCCCCCAGGAAGTCATTAGGCTTGTATGGGGATGTCAAATGCAACAGGAGAACTCTTCCAGCAAAAAAGATAATCTTTGCTTCAGGAAGGAATGAGCTGGAGTTCAAAGTGATCGTGTGTAAAAATGTTGTTTAGAGTTGTTCCCACTTGAACACGGTCTGTTCTGGCTCCCTGGGATTGCCTTACCAGCCTACCAAATTTCTCTTTTCTGCACCATTTTAAATATACACAAAGATGTTCTACTTGGCTCTGGAAACAATTTGACATTTGAATCCTCTGCCCCATGGAAATCTTTCAGAATGACTTTAAATTTGGGTTTTTTTCCTCTGAGTTGTTGTTTTTTAATGCCGTTAGTGCTTCCTGATGTAAGGTACCCTTCTGAAACCATGAACATGAAAGGGGCATGTGGGTCACTGGCCTTACAATTGGAGCAGTAAGGGCAAGATATTTAATATCTACACACTCCCTGAAAGTCATCAGGTATCATCTATCCCCATGGGCCGACCTTGGCTGTAAGCACATCCCAGTGGATACATAGATACATATATGTATATATACAGTATATCTATATATGCCAGTGTGTACGCACCATTTGCAGAGTCCTAATCTTTTGCTAAATGCTTGGTTTTGGTTATGTTCCCCAGAAAAGGGGAATTTGAAGGCACAGACCCCTTAAGGCTATGTTCTCTCATCCTTTAGCAGTAAGAAGAGACCAAAAATGTCTATCCCAATCCATTTAACCCAAGGTTTGCACAGAGAGATAGCACTATTTGCCGTGCAGTTCAGCCTCTGTGGTGAGAATTCACACAAAACCACAGGAGAGAGGCCCTTATCCACCACTTAACAGACTTCATAACACGTTTTATTTAAAACCTCCAGATGCTTGTCCAGCGCAGGCACCAGCCACGTGCTGCGTAACAGGCAGGGAGATGTCCACGGTGCCAATGCCACGAGTGGCCACAGGAACAGTCTGTGCTCAGCAGAAGATCTCCTCACCCTCTGGAGGTGCTTCTGACGAGTGAGAATCTGCAGCACAAAAAACAACAGGTGGGAATCACTATGGGAACACAGGCATAGAGCAGGCAGAGCGGGACTCCATGTGCACAGAAACCCCGCTGTCTGCCAAATCCACTGGACCCCTTCAGAGATGTTCAGTTCCCTGAGCAACCGTGAAATCACACCTCGTAATGGGTGAGCTTCCCTGTGCACAAGTTGGAAAGCATCAGTGAATTAACATGGATAAAACTGGTCAACTGAAGGCATGTGATCAAATTTCATGTGGGTCAGAGGTTTGAGGTGCAGCTCTGAGTCCTAAGGGGATGCAAAACTACTAGAGAAAAAAACTGCATGTTTTGTTTTTTTTTTCAGATCAAGAGGTAAGATAGACCAGCTTGAGGGGAAGGGAGACGCCACCAGAAGGGTTGTGGCTATCACTTCCAAACTACCACAGAGCTAAAGAAAATATCAATGCCTCAGGAGCTGCAACAGCCAGGAGTACCCCAGCAGCAGCTCCTGAAAGCACAGACACCAGAGCAGGACATTTTCTTCCTTGATGCAGAGCATGCTGAAAAATAAACAGAGCAGCCAGCCCACAGAAGCTATTCAGGATGGGACGGGGAAGGGGAGAAGCAATGAGGACAGTACGTCCCTCTGACAACCCCCAGGGACTGTGGAACAGGCAGAAAAGCCCAGAGATCGTCACTTCAAGCTGGGAACTCCATTTGTCACAGATGACCTTCTCCATCCCTGTGTTACCATCCACATTTAAAGCTAGATTTTGGGCTTCCACAAGTTCGCTGGCTGAAGGAAAACAGCCAGCTCACCAACCTGAAAACACACCTGTGACCTCCCCTGACACTCACCAGACTGCTGGGAGCGATGTCCCCTGCTCTTTTTCTTCTTTTCCTTCTTCTCCTTTGGTTTGGCTAAACTGAAGAGGCGAGTAGGCATCTGAGTCTGTTCCTCAGCTGCCTTGTTAGTCTGGTTTGTTGTGCTAAGCAAATGGAAAGTGCTTTTCTCTTTGTGTGTCCTTGAAAGACTGTTCCTTTTGGGGGAGACAGACAGTTCTGCATCAAAGTGCCCTTGTTTAGGAAGGGAAGGGCTCTTCTGCTTGGAGGATTCATCGATGCTGGACTGGGAGGAGACTCTTGCAAGTTTCTCATGTAGATTTGAAACCTATAAAGGAAAAGTGTTTTATGAAAGAGGCAACAGAGAACCTGGATAGGAAAGGTGTCCTAGACCTCTCATAGAGACAGAGATTGTTCTTGTGAACATCCAGCCCATTCACCAGCTAAAACATTGTCTCTATCCAGGCAAAGCAAAGAGAGAAAAGCCCTCTCAGTTTAAGATGAAAAAACGATGCATATAAAGAGTAACACTCCACTATCTTTTGCTCCTACATGTACTATGCTATGTATCAACAAGCCAAGGGCAAATATTCCCTAAGATCTCACAACTGAGACTCACCCTGCATCGTTTGCACACACAGATGGTGGCAGGAGGCCAAGGAACAGTGTGCTTCTCTGGGAGGGGAACGCCAGCACACCAGAGCAGCATGTGTCAAAGGAAGCCTTCCCAAGCAAAAGATGAAAGCAAAAACATTTTTCCCAATTTTTTTTTTCTCCTAACGGCTGTCTCAGGATGTAATTGAGTTTGCACATTCAAAGGGAAGATCAAAACAACAGCCCAACAAAGCCTTACTGAACCCTCTATTAATAGCTCTGCAATGTCAGTAAGATACCTGCCTCGAAAAGGTGTTTCCTTCTCCTAAATCCCTTAAGCCTTGCAGGCATTTTACCTCTCAGCCCCTCCCACAGCATCCATGCCCCTCACATGTCTACGTGTGCTTGATGCTGGAACAGCTTCACTGGCTGCTCGGAAAACTTCTGGCTTGATCAGGAACTGGGTGGGAGGGAGCAGGCCCTCCTCTGGTGATTAGCTTTTCAGAGCTCACTGCTCCAAAATTAGTCCATTCAGGCACCCAAAATAATTTCCATTTGGCAATCCAACATTTATAAACTAATTTTGCTGCAGCTCTAAGCTAATTACAGTCAGAATCAGTGAGTTACAAACAAACAAATGATCAACAGGCTTAAGGATGAAATTCAGCCCATGTTTTGCCAATGATGCTTGCTCTCCTCCCCCAGACTGCTGCACAGCTATAAAGAAATAAACCCCAGCTTGCTGAAAAATGCACAGAGCAGGATTTGTGTGGGAGCTCTCTTTGTGCTTGTGGGCAGCCAGGCACCAGAAGGCTCTTTCAGTAGAGCCAGGGACCTTTGCTCACTGAGCCACAAGTGGACTGCAGGTGCCCAGTCTCTCCAGGACAGGGGCAATGCTCTCTTTGCTAGATATTGAGAATGCTTTTGCAGATGGATGTCAGCACACAAACTGCCCTGCAGTTATCAGCCTCACGAGAGGCTTTTGTGACAGCTGGAGAGTGCAGGTAACCCACAACGCTCTGGCTGTTTCCGAGAAGGACGTCTCCTTTGCCTGACTGTGCTCCAGAGCTCAGCCCTCATGGGGTGAAGGCCAATGTCAGGCAGGATCAGCCTCCTGGGATTGCCTAGGACATCTTCTCTGGGAGCGAGCCACCTCCTCTCTGCCATCCCCCAACATATGGCACACAGAAGTGGGCAGAACTCAGGCTGTTGTAGCCCCCTGCTGCTCAGCACTGGCCAGGCACCCCAAATACACCACGTTGCACCAACACTGGCAGTGCCTCAGCAGCTGAGGTGCAAGAAACGCAGAGGTGCAAGAAACACAGCTCTGCACATCACATGCAAGGAAAGAGACAGTTTGAAATGCCAGGCCCCACGTGTCTAGGGCTGGGCTGGCACCAGTCTATCCCTGCAGGCATGCAGCTGGCCCAGGAGCTGGTTGGGAGCTCCCTGCAGGGCTCTGCTTCCCCGGGAGCCTGGCCCTTGGCATCATTTACCTGGTTGTGGTCAGGCTCCTGCCGCATTTGAGATAATCGCTCCATATCCTGCTTGAGCTGCACCTTCTCCCTCTCCAGCTGCTTCTGCGCCGTGCGAAGCCTCTCCAGGTCGAGCTGGTAGGCAGCCTTCTTCATCTGCAGCTCCTCTCGCTCCCGCTCCAGCTCCTGCCACCTTCTCTGGACCTGCTCCTCGCGCTGGGCCAGTTGGGCCTCCTGCTCTGCCAGTTCCTTCTCCCGGACTTCCCACTCCTTCTCTCTCCTCCGCCTCTCCTCCTGGTGCTGCGTCTGCTGCTTCTTCAGGTTGGCCAACTCCTGGCGCTGCTTCTCCAGGCTGCGCTGCTTCTCCTGCTCCAGCAGCGAGGTCGGCCGGAAGAAGCTTCGGGTCAGAGCCCTCTCACTCAGAGCCAGCTTCTGGTCCTCAATGTAGGTGTCCTGCTGCAGCACGACGCCCTGGGAGAGGAGGCACAGAAATCACTACAGCATCCTGAGGAGAAGCCCATCCCTGAAAACCCCAGGGTGCTGCACTGAACCCCTCCATCTCCCACCAAACTCACAGCGCAGCGCTGCTGCCTTACAGCTGGGCTACCAGACGATGCTGAAAAGCATCTCCCCTGGCAGCTTCCCAAACTCAGGTGAGCACTGGTTCCCTTAGGCAGCAGCTCATTCCAACATTCCCAGCACGCTGCTGTGGAGTATCCAGCTATGCAGGGATGTGACATGCAGTGGAGAAGGGCAGACAGGGGTGAAGCACAACTGGCAGCTTGAGCAAGGAGCAAGCAGAAGCAGGATGAAGGGCTAAGCCTACCTGCAAAGCACTGAGCAGCTTATGGAGGCTGGTAATGGTTTGGAGGACCTGCTGCGAGAAAACAAAAGCGTTGCTATTAGATCTCCTTGGGTGCTGGGGCAGGTGTACAGCACCCTCCTTCCCTCTGTGACCCACTGTGGTCTGACAAGCTGTACAGCCATCCCTCTGCACCTTCCTTTTCCTCACTCTTCTGCTGCAATGACTGCATCGTCCCCCAGTACACCAATACATCCCTTGGACATCTCCCAGAGGTGCCTGGCATCACCTCCCTCCCTTCCCTAGCTGTCAGTGCAGCAGGTGAAGAAACATCTGCAGAGGTACCTCGTGGCACAGGCTTCATGGGAAATCCCAGTTTGTCACTGCAAACCATTTCCTAGAGCATCAGCTTGCTCAAGAACAAGCAGAGTAATTGGGATGAAACCCAACAGTTCACTTAAAAATTTCAGGAAAAGAACTTCAAGGGGTGAAAAAAACCCTAGAAATCTTAAAATGAATGTGGACTATTTGTACTGTTCTCCATCAGCTGACCCATACAAGTCCTACTGCCATTAGACAGAAAAGCTGCACTACAGCAGGCACACAAGAGCAGCAGGTGTGTTCTTGGAGGCTCTCCGAAAATACAGGTAAATGCAAACACCTTGTGAATCAACACAGATCAACCTACTTTGGACTGATGCCCCATCCCCAAATTTAGCCTAGCTAAAATTTTCTCTGAATCTCTCATATCCTACCATTATTTTAAGAAGAAAAACCACTGCAGTATTTGCAGTAGTGATGTGATAGCCAGTATTAAGAGAGCTGCTTCTTATTGTGCCATTAATGCTAATTGGAAGTTATGAATGTGTATCAAAGGGAGAATAGAATTCTAATTGCCCCAATTCACTGCACCTGCAACATAAAATTAAACTCTCTCTGTCTGCAGATGCACAATAAATACAGCCCTGTGCATCCTGGTGGTAATTAACCCTTGCTGCCTATAATCAGCACATATCATCCTGCTGGCAAGCAGATGACAATCAGTGAATTCCCTGTCTGAACATCCAAGGTTAAACAAATAAATGACACAGTGGGTTCAGCTTAATGTATTTAAAAGTCTAGATGAGCTTCAGCAAATGAAATGTGTTTTCTTCTACATTATCACCTATTGAGACAAATTCTCTTCGCACTTAAAGGAAGGAAACAGCTGAGCAATGGAATCAATTCTTACCTCGTTATTCCTTTTCAACATGAACATCAGATTAGCATTTCCACCCTATGACAAGATCACAAATTTAATATGAGGACAATGAGAAATCACAGCAAATGTAATTAGCTGAACTAATGACGTACCCATTAAACACCCCCTCCACCTTTCATTCTCGAAGAATTCACACACTGTTTTTTAGGCAAGTTAAAATCATATACAATAAAATATTAATTAGGTAACATTTTGTAGTTATGTGATAGATTGATCTGCAGCAAGAATAGGTGCAAGGTTATAGTTGACCCTATCATTTCAATAATGATGCATAATTAAACACATGCTCTGGCTGTTCTGCAGACAGATGGTAGATAACTTGTGCCACTGAGGAATAAAACTGATTTGCAATAGTTTTCAAGTCAGGATTTTAGCTACAGCAAAGTGGTTTTAGTTGCATACTTCCAATTTTATTTTATTTTTAACTTACTAGGACATATCTAATTGTCAAGAAATTTAGGCATTTTTCAAGACTAGAATTGTCACTCTTGCAATCTGAACTCACTGCTAGCAGATAGATAAACCAAGCTATACCTTCTTTAAAATGCTGTCTGATTCTGTTCTTCGAAGGTCCTGAGCATCATCACCTTCATCTTTTGCTCCACCTAAAGGAAGAAGCCAGCATTGACACTGGTTATTCAACATCCTAAACCATGGATGAACTTGCTAAAGTCTGAGAAATTTAATACAGGAAACACATGTTTCAGAAAAGGGGACACAGAGCTACCGACACTTTACCTAAATGCATTTGCTCCCTAAATATACGGAACACGTCAGCACTACCAGAAAAAGTGGATGTGAATTTAGATTAAGATTGACTTTGGTTTCAGAGAACGTGCTGATAATTTTGACACACTGCTATCAATTGGTGCTCTTTCTAGCCCCTGCACTGCCATCTACTACCACAGAATACGTGCTGAGAAGACACGAGGCAGAGTAAGAGCAGATGGAGGATGATAACAGAATCATATCAGGGTATATTATTGCAGGTATAGTTTCAATGCTTCTCTTGTGAAAGTTAATTTACATCTGGGTCAGATACTGCTCTGTGACACCCTGTGTAATTCTATGCTAACAATTTACCATTAACCTTAGTTATCAGAAACCTGGATCTAAAAAGGAACACTGGACTTCTCTTTCTAACTTCCCCCCGGAAGCCTCATATCAGTGCTCCCAAGCAGGACTGAACTGACCTGTGGGGCCAGGAGGGCTGTAACCCTCCCCCTGTGCTGCCCTTCTGCTCAGGGGTGGCAAAGGAGTCGCACAGACCTTCCATCCTCTAGCTCTTGCCAAGATTCCTGTACTCCCCTTGCCAGCTGAGATGCAGCCCATGGGGAAAACCCACACCTGCAGTGGTAACCTTCCAACTGCCGCTATTTTAATGATAAACAACTTTACATACACCTGAATCTGCACCAATGTGAAAGGCACCATACCTAGTGCAAAGGCCCTCTCCACCCACCACCCCCCAGGCAGGCTTTGCTATTAAAGGCTGACCCTCAAGTCCTCCTAACAGACCTTCTCTCCTGCGCCACGTCCTGGGACCTTCCACCTCTCTGCAGGAGGAAACACCTCCCTTCTGCTTTGCTGGAGGGGAGAACGAAGGGGAGTCAGGTTATAAGCTTTGCCCAAGGTTTCACAGGTTGTGAACAGAAGAACTGGAGGTGAATGCCAGGTTTCATACCTCCTGGTCTCCAGCTGAACAAACAGGCCCTGCATTCTTTTCCCCAAATCTCCCAAGACCCTACAACTACTGAATTACAATCTAATTCAAAAGAGGGTATTCCTACAGAAAACCTAGAGCTGGGGAATGAACAGCCTGAGGTTGCCCCATTCATCATCGCAACAGAGAGGCACAACCCTAAACAAACCCCTCTGGTGTGAATATATTTGTCATTATGATGACAAGGCCTGTGAAGGGCTTTGCAGCTTTCCAGTAGAGCTGGGAAAGCCTCTACATTTTTCTCATGTCTGACTGTCTGGAGCTAACACTGCTCCTTTAATGCACGAGGTCAGACAAGGTCCAACAATCCCAGTGCTGAGACAGACACCAGCACAGCAAAACTGGTTGTATTGGGAGTGTGAGTGAGACCACAGAGAGAGGAATTTGAGGACAGGGAAGTTTCTGATGACTTGGGCAAAGAAAGAGAGCATTGGGAAGCAGCCAACTATGCAGCTGAAATGAATAGTCACACATTTCTTTGGGAGAGACTTAATTGCAGGAATAACACATGCAGTTGTAGGTGGAAAACAAATGCATAGAGAGCAGAGACAGGAGAGAAGGTGTTTGATTCAGGAATATCCTCATCCATTTGCAAATGGAACAGCACCAGGCTCCTGCTGGAAGATAAGTGAAGAACAAAGAACAGAGCTGTAGATACTACAATAATAACGCGAAGAAACTAATTTTTTGAGAAGCCAAACGCTTCCATGTGGCACGTAAGTACAAGAGTACAGATGAGTTAGAGAGAACACAGAGAGAAAGGAGTGAAGAGTTCAGATGTTTAACCCTTGTGTAGCCACAGGTTCTCAGCTACCATCATTCTACCTGTACGTAGACTTTTTTCCTAATCTGTGATTTAATCTATCAACTATTATTGGAGAAGAGCTGTGAAACCCAAATCACCAGCTGAAGTCCTTCTGAAGCAGGAGGATATGATGACATGTATTAAGAACAAATTCTGGTGTGCACACACGTAACTACCCACCCTTGGAAGCGTTCATCTGATGACTGTCAAATCCTCCAAAAGTTTCTGCCCTTCTAGGAAGAGAGACGGGGCCAACTCCTCCTTCCTGTTCCATGGCAGTGCTGCTGACCTGCTGTCCGAGGGCAGTGCCCAGGCTCCTGTTCACCAGGTCTTGCAGCAGTTCGACTGATAAAAAAGCAACAATGTCTTTGTTAAAGGCCACCTCAGGCTTCTGAGCTATTTTCATCACTGCTTGAGCTCAGGTCAGAAATTCATATACTTTGCTGGACCAAGAGCCTGTGTTTCTGTGACAATGGAATGAACAGTATGCATTGCCCCTGCAAAAACTCAGTCTGCCTGACCATTAACTCCAATTCCTGGAGCTCTGCACAGCTTACACCTCCCTCTCTTCCTCCAGGCAACCTGATATGCTCTGACAACAGCATCTAATAATTTTTAGCCTCTTCAAAAATCACACTAGAAAGCTGACTGAGTTTCCATCTACCCATGCCTTTGTCAATGGACTTGACTGTCCCTTGCAGGCACCACAAGTGCCTGCTGGAACCCAAGCCCCACTCTCACATCTTGCTGAGATTGAAGCACAGCAAAAAGCCTGGATGGTCCAAATTTCAGCCAAGGATAAATACTGTGCTGCTCCTGACCCCAAAGCAGGTTCAATGCATGATTGTTCTCTGTGCTGATTTTTCTGCCTTCTTTCAACACCCATCAATATCTGCTTCCTTTCCTGATCCTCGTGACCTGTCCCTGAGACAAAATTGTGAGTAGCATTATCTCCTCATCTGTGCTGTTATTCTGACAAAGAGAAGACTTCCCCTGCAAGACTGGTGCTTGAGAACTGACACTTTCACTGAAGCTGAAGGTCTGTTGGTTACTGTAATTTACATGTCACCTGACTGGCTCACCTTCATTTATTGCTGTTTTCATAATGGCCTCTCCTTTTGGAGCCTCTTCTGTGTTGGCTCTGAAGAGCAGCCTGGAGCCTGGCATCTCCTCCTGCACAGAACTGTCTGCCATGTCCCGGAAGATCTTCGTCTTCTCCTCCAGCAAGAGCAGGATCTGCTTATCCTTCTGCTGAAGTTGTTCTGTGGGGGTGAACAGAAAACAAGAGATGAAGACAGAAAATAAAAGCTTCGTCAAGGAAACTTGAGCGATTCCTGAGATACTGGCCCCATCTAGTGGAACCTGACAGCATGTGCTGGGTTTGGCAGCACATACTCTGACACAGTATGACCATGCCCTGCACAATCCATGCACAGCACTGGCACCCAGCAGGCTCAGAACAAAAATAATGCAGGGAAGGTGAGCCACAAACAAGGATTGCAATTATTTGCTGGATGTAGGGCTTTCACTCAGTTGAAAAATATTGTAGTTCAACCACAAAACCCAACTCAAAAATTCCTGTACATTTTTCCAAAACCACTCCCCAGTTCTATCCCAGGCAGGATTTTACCTTTCAATCCTCTCACTTTTGCATCAGACAATTTCTTTTCGAACTCAGACTCACAAGGGACTCCTTCGTCTTCATCTCTATCCCTGGACAGGAGACAGGGATAGGCTTGATTATCACAGGAACACAACCATGTGCACAACCTGCCTCCCAAGAACAGCTGGGTAGCTTACATGGTGTTCATTGTGTCCTGAATTATCTGGATCCAGCCGTTACGTTCTTCTTTGGAGCTGGCATGGACTTCCACCATTTCGGGATCTTTTCCGCCCATGCTGATCAGGAACAAACCCTTCTCTTCATGAGCCACTTCCCGCACTATCAACTTCTTCAGAGAGATCACAGTGGATTTCTGGTCCTTCAGATGGAAAGAAATGGGTGAGGAGGGTGAACAGTGCTACTTTCCAGGTGCAAACTAGCATTGAAAAGGTCCCATAGCACTACATCTCTCAGGCTGTAAACATTTGCTGAACCTACTGGCTAATTAAAAAAAATAAATCATTTTAATGGGGTCAAAAACAGGGAAGGGTTTGCTTTTCTCCAACAGTTCTGCAGGAAAAGCAATTTCACCTCATTCCATTTCAACAAAGAATTAATTTAGAATTGACTCTGTGGTTTTGTAAACTCTACCATATTTTGCTCTGATCTCGCTTCCTCCTGCCCACGCTCTCCCTGTCATTAATATCACAGCTCCTTACACTCGGTGCAGCTTGCTAGTGCCTGCTTCACACACAGTATCTTCATGATCTCTCTCTAGGATAGAATAACATCTTGTTTTCAAATGCCACGAAACCTCTGCTGTTCTCAGGAGCTCACAGCTGACTCCTGTGTGAGAACTCGTGTGTAAGATGACGTTCACTGTGTGTTATGGTGTCTGTGTGATCAGCCTGCTGGGTTACAACGCCCCTTTGCTGCGGTGTCATCTGCACACGAGTCAGCCCCTTTGTGCACTGTACCAGCTGCTACAACTGGGGTGATTTGGTAGAGGCCCACTAGCAGGACTTGTGTGCAAATCAGCTTCTCCTGTGTAGGGCACTGAGCCTGTGCAGAGGGTTGGTGGAACTGCAATAACAAATTAACAGCTTTCAAAATGCTCGAAGAGTGGAAAGGTCACAAGGTTTAGCCAGTCTAGACCATGCCTGGAAGGTACAGCCCAACAGACTCCATTAGGCACTAGGTTTTCTTTAGCAGGTCAGTGTGCCCAGCCCTTTTCAGGGGCCTGCCCTCAAAAGCTAGTGTTTTTGCTCTTGTGCATTACAAATATATTTCTCTGATGTTTACTTTCCAGCTGTTCTGTTGAATTTACTGCACTTGCACTTCGCCTCACCACCCCCCACAGCAGCCCACAATGTATTAGGACATCTCCTTCTGCTAAGGTTCATTTTTACAATGTTTGCATTATCTCCTTGCCCCCCCCCCCCCACCACTGCTTCAATGTGCACAAACTGAAAAGCATGAGTGTATCGAGTGACAGGCAGCTTTTCAAGGCCAATTATCAGCTGTGCCAAGGTGCTGCACAAAGGGGAGGTGGGGCATGAAGACATGTTTTCATGTCAGAAAGAATGGAGTCTGCTCAGCAAACAAAAATGTTGCGAGCAAGAAAATTGAGTTGTTTAGCAGAAAAATGGCTGGCTTTGCTGCACAACACACATCACGGGTCTCTCACACAGAAAAGGAAGAAGAAGAAAAGGTTGAAGTCTTACCAATGAGGCAAACACATACTTCTGGTCCTTCTCCTGAAGGAACACGAGCATGTCAGAGAGGAGAACAGCCTGGACTTCTGCAAAAGAAGCAGCATAACAGTAAGTATAACCACACAACCTACCCCAAAACAGATTTCTTGTAATAACACCAGTGCTGGGGAGCAGCAGGGCTGGTTTTACAAATGCTGGAAGCAGGATCAACCTCCTAGTTAGCAGGAAGAGCAGGGGCAGCTCCTGGAGATGCCAAGTCAGGTTAGCTCTGAACTGACTTTGCATTAAGCAGAACAAATCAGCACCTGGAAAACCTGCAGGATTTGCTCTCGTCTGTCTGAGCAGGGGTGCTCCCCTCCTGCCACACGCTCACTAGCAGTTAAGACGTGGGCATAACAGCAAAAGCCAGAGACGTTTACTCAATAGAACCTCTGTTTTCTCAAACAATCAATATTTTAGCCCTGGAGCAAAATATCTGCACAGGAAGTTTTGGGTTTTATGGTTCTCTTGATGAGTGGTTTGCAGAGTGTAAATTATCATGCAATAACAACATTTGTCAGCTGCAGTTTCTTTCCGAGGAAATACTGACCTCAGGAGCCACCACTAATTCTGCTCTCAGACAAACACAACTCTTGTCGACTCCGAGGGGAGCCGACAGAGCCTGTGTGAGACACAGGACCTGGCTTTCTTTCATGGGAGAAGGAAGCACAACCTCAAGCCAACAGAGGATTTTAAATCAGTCTTTTCCCAGAGTGCACATACAGCTTTCCAAGTCTCCTAATGACATATCATAAAGTTGCACAGCAACTACCAAGTGTAGTGCCCCACCCAGACCCTTCGGTACAAAGAGTTTTTGTGTAATGTACTTGGGAAATCTTGTGACAGAGAGGAAGCAAACCAGAAAGTTAAATCATCCCATGGGTAAATCCTTCCATTCTGTTTTGGGAAGACAGGATCCATTCCAGAGAAAAGAACCATGAAACTTTAAGCAAAGCTGCAAAATTAAATCCAAGCTCTGTGAGGTTTGCAAAAGGTGGCATTTGATTCCCTTTTTCTCTGTTCTGTGCACTTTGCAAGAGGGGAAATGCTAAAACCCTCTAAGAAACGTTCTTCTTCTAATTCTCTGTGCTGCATTTCAAATCCTGCAAAACAGCCTGACTATAAGAACAAGCTGCTTTCCCTCCCTGGGTCTGCAGCTTGCCTGCAGGACCTGCTTTCCCCAGGAGTTTGCACTACAGACATGTTTATGCATCTCTCTCACTAAGAAATGCAAATGGAGCCAGTGCTTATCACAGGATTTCACAACAGCAGCATAACTTGCTTCATCAATCATCTAAAGGCAATAGTAGTCTCGGGTGCCTAGAAATCATCTGTAAACTTCCTGTTTCCAAAACCTCGAAATAAATCATACCCTGTATGGAATTCTATGTTATCACTGCCTCCCTGCACAGCACAGCACCAGGCTCCCAGTCCCCGTTCATGCCCACAGACCGTAATTTAATCAGCTAATGCTGGAAGGAGAGAAGGGAAGCCCAGCCTTCCTGCCAAGCCTGAGACACAGCCCTGTCTGCTCTTACTGCTGCCATGGCCCCAGCTGAAGGATTCCTTGGGAGAGTTAGTGTTTAATTCAGGGGAGAACTTCAGTGCACAGCACTTTAAAAAAAACTACTTCCACCTAACAAACAAAAAGCAATTCAAGAAAACACTGACCCAACAAGAGGCAGCTGCAAGGACACCAGAGCCTCTCCTGAACAGTTTGCGTCAGCAGAAGGCAGGACAGTCTCACCTTTTAGCCGTCCAGCTGCACTTCTTAGTGAAACAGGCCCATCTCGGATGAGTTTCCGGTGCCTCAAGTCCTCTCTTGCAAACATCTGGCCACTCTTCATCCTCATGATGGACTTGCTGTCCGTCCGGTTGTAAATCTCACCAAGACGCATTTTCTTCTCGTAATTGCTGACTTTGCTGTTGACTGCAGCAATCACGTCTTTAACGAGGTTTAATGACTGAGTCAAGTCTTCATGTTCCACTTCGTTTTCTTTAAAAAAGAAACAGAGAGACCTCGATTTCACTTCATCTTTGTGGAGTCTAACTTCCCACTTTTACTTCCTTCCTTCCTCTTCTCCTTCTCAAATTCCAGCATTATAACTTTGTAATATTTAAATGAGACAGGATGCATTTTTTCCCCTTAAGGAGAGTTTCACAAAACCTTTCACATATATGTGGTTGAGGTTGGGGACTATTCCAATATACTTTGTATATGAGAGAGTATGGATGAAATACACAAATTAATCACATATTTTAGCCATTACCACAAAAAAAAGCAAGCTGGGAAGCTTTGGAGTCTAAGCATGTTGCTCCATAATTAGCTACAGACAGACTTAACTAAATCAAGGTACCTGAACAACTAATCCTAAATGGAGATATGGAACTGAGTTGTCTCGTTACAGCTGCACAAGACAACAATGACTGGATTACCTGGTAAGAGAATCTGCTTCAGCTGAAAAGGATCAAAAAAATTTACACTGGATGAACAAATACACAGTTAGAATAAAGGAACTGGTTCCTACCTTTGGTGTACTGCAGTATCCTTTGTAAAAGGACAGGGTACTTTGTGATTCTCTGCGTTACCAACAGGATACATTCAGGAATCCCAAGACGCCTCACCAGGGAGCTGCTCATTTTTTTCTAAGGAATAAAGGTGAAAGTTTAATTTCTGTAGCAAAATGGTCACCACAGTGCAGGAAGGAGATGCTTTTTCCATTGACTGTGTCTGTCCTACCAGATCCTACCTTGACAAATGCCTGAAACCGCTTGTCCTTGGAGTACAACTCTTTGAAGCAATTGAGTGCCTCGTTGTGATGCCCGCAGAATTTTCCATAGGTTTTCTTCATTCGCTCGGCGCTGTCACCAGAGAACTGCAAGACATGAGACACAGAGCTCCAATCTGCACTGAGCTCCTGGTGTGATATCCCAGCAGGGCCTGCCAGCACTAAATTAGTCCAAAGCATCCTTAATCAAGCAAGCAGATCTCTAGAAAGTAAAAGAGCTGATTTGGGGAATTTACTGAGTTCACGCCTACAGTAGAATTTGGGATTCTACTCACAGGGCTTAACAGCCAAGAACAAAAAAGTCAAAACAGACAAAAAGAAGGAAGAAACCACGGATAAAGAAAAGTAAAATGACCCACCCAAAGTTAAACAGCAGGTCAGTAATGTAGCCAAGAGACACACTGAGCATATTTTGCTGTGAGCTCCTGCCTACACTTCAGGCTATAGTCAGACCGTTTTGTGCTTGTCAGCAAATGCTTCTCTTTCCCACAAAATGAACTAAATTAATTTTCAACAGTGGACCTTCATCTGAAAGAGCAAAAAGTGCCTAAAAAAAAGCAGAGGCGGAGATTCTTACATGTGGGAAGAGTAAAGGTGTCATCAGCTGTGATTATCTGACAGGCACAAACAGGAGGGAAGGAAAACCGCCTGGTTTCCAGCTGTGTTCTCAGAACTGCAAGCATTTTCCAGCACTTACTTGATTCACTAGGATGTCACCTATCCTCTTGATAACAAAGTTCTTTTCACTTTTGTCTGCCAATGACTCCTTCTTCCTTTCCAGAATCCGCTGGAAAAAGTTACTGTGGATTTGCAGCAAGTTTTCCAGGCAGGGAAAGATCTTGTCAATGAGTTGTTGATCAAACTGCAGCTCCTTCATCATTGCTGCGCTGTACACATCGTTCATGATCTTCAGGGTGCGGACGTGATGCATTTCTGTCTGCATTAGCTCTGTACAGGATGGGGACAAGGTCAAAACCAAGGTCACTGTGGAGTTCATGGGTTACAGCACAAGGAAAAGCTGCCATGAGAAAGCTCTTCCATAACTGGGCTTCTCTCTGGTTTCAGAAAATTTCATGTCAGCTATTGAAACATCAATCAATAGCTTCATGTGTGAGAGAAAAAGTTTCACATGTGAGAGCGGGGCAGAGGAATCCTAAAATTTTGAGCTTTGGACACTGAGGTCTGAACCTTCAGCCCTGGTATCTGCTCCTTCCTAACTCACTGGCAGCCTCAGCATACTGCCCTTTTGCCATAGAGGATGGCTCCTGATCCTGTCAGGAGAAGACTTCCTAGCTACCTGCTCTGCTGTAACTGAGTTTAGATGTCATCAGGAGACAAACAAGGAGAGGCAGTTTCTGGGAATTTTTGATGGCTTCTGGATATGGGAATTGCAAAAAGAAAGCCTTCACAGAATACATTACATTTCTAAGAACTGCAAGAATGAAACTATGGCTTCTAAGAAAACCAAGTCAATGTTTCCTGACCTAAAGTTCACTGACCTAAAGTTTCCCAAATCCATGCATGTGGGAACATCAAGAAGCTATCTAAAACGAGTGAAAAATGAAGATGCAGGTATCTCACCATAAATGACATCTTGCCGTTTGACAACATCTTTGTTTTGCTGCTGTAGGAACTTGCTGTCCACTACTTGGCTCCAGGACTCTGCCTCCAGCTGCTTGGAATCTAATTCCAGTTCTCCCATGAGCTGTCCTTCATTCATGTCCGCTCCTTCACAAAGCAATGTAAGTGCCATTAAGATGTGGGTAACTTGTCCCATTTGAGATTCCTGTCTATTCATTTAGGTTTAGGCATTGTCTGTCACACCACAGACACCACACACATTCTCCTTTCCTGACACAAATGACCACGTAAGGACCAGGTTATGAAAAGCACTTTTAAAGATTATTTCTTAGTAATGGTCAAGTAAAGAACTAGTTGACCATTTTCACACAGAATAAATTCTAGCTCAGATAATGTATTCTGAATCTGCAATGCAACAACATTGTAGATAAAAAACCACAGTAGAAGAGGAAATGTTTTTCCCTGAGCTAAATTCCAAGTAACTCAACTGTAACAGAAACCTTCTAAATGTTTTCCCACAATTCAACAAGCTAAAGTAATTAATATGTGGGGCTTTGTTTATCATGCTGATATTCTAAGATTAAAATAAATGCACTTTAATTGTCCATTAGAAAGGAGGACACTTGCTGAAAATGGATTTTGTATTTCTGGAAAGCAGCACTGAGACCTTGCTTTTGCCATAAATGCCATAGGGATCTCCTACCTTCATCAACCAGTGACTCCATGGATTCGTTCACCCGGCTGATTTTATGTAAGGAGTCTGTTGACTGCGACAGGTATTTCCAAGTGTGTATTAAGCTGTCATCGTTCCCAACTCTGCTGAAAAACAGAACGTACAATATTGTTTATGACATAAAAAACCCAGCCAAATGTACTTTCAAACAACCAGAAGAAATGCATTTTAAATACGAATTGGAAAAAAAAGCCAGCACTGCACGATTCCATACAGAAATGTGCTTTTGTTAGTTGTTTTCTAACTACCCTCTGGGGCTCAAGAAGCTGTAAGAGGTACAGTTCTGAGTGCTGATGCTGCTTCTATAAAGAATCACACCTGAGGTTTTATGGTTTGGATAACTCCATTTCCACTACTTTCCATTTCAGTCACATCCCATCCTCACTGCCCTTGGTGCATGCAGTGCAAAAAATGCAACACCAAAGGCTATATGAGAGTCCTTATCATCAGCTCTGAGAAAGATGAGAAAAATGGACTGAAAAAAATTTCACCATGACTAGCCAGGGCATTCAAACTGCCCAGAACATGCCAGTCCATGCTCTGCCTCATGTGTAGAACTGCTCAAAATGCAGGTAGAGTAGGAATCATAAACTAGATTTTCTTCTATGATTTTTTTTAATTAATTATGTAAAATGCAGTCCAAACCCCCCAGGCAGACTGCACCTCTCTGCCTTCACCCCTACTGTCATGGACACAAAAGTTAATACAATACCTGAGCTGCAAATGTGTTCTTGCACAGTATCCAGCCCAAGGCAAGGGAATTTCCTCCTGGATCCCAGAGCATATCTATGAAGTGGCCTTGAATCTAACCAGGCCAACTCAGACTCGTCTGAACTCATGCTATGACTAAACTAACCCAGGCAATCTGATCGTGCAGAAGACACCTGATGGTATCATACATAACATGGGTATTTCTGGCTTTGTGAACCTCTTCTGTACTTTTAGCACAAATCATAGTCCATGAATCTATTTTCAGAGAGATCTGAACTTCGTTACGTTCGCAGCGTCAGGTAACACCCGGGTGCTCAGGTGTCCAGGGAGAAACCTTACCCTGCAATGTTCTGTATGGAGACACTTTTAGAAAGTGCTGTAGGCTGCTGTGATGATCTCCTGTTGTTGAACATTGAGGCGACAGTGCTTTCCTCAGGAGCAAGGATTGCAGAGCGAGGGCGCTCCTTGGGCTGCGAGCCTGGAAGGGAAGGGTCAGAGGGGAGTCAGGCCGTGTAACTGCCTTAACCGCTGCTAACTGTGGTGGTGATGATGATGATTTAAAGGATCCAAGCACTAAAATTCACTTCCTTATCTTTCTAGAATCATCACCAGGGGATCTCAGCAGTCAAAAGCAGCCACAGGAAGGAAAGAACGTGGATCCCTGTGCAGAACTGACTGCACTGCACTATGCCTAAAATTCCTAGATGGGATCTGCAAGTCCAGAAACACATACTTGGGAAACTGAATTTAATTTTATGTGATAAATATGTTTTCATCTACTCTGTTGCTTTGTCACTCCCCTGGGCCTATAATTATATGCATCTTGCTGCTTCTGGTCAGACTTTTTGAGACAGGTTTCTCTATCAGTATGTACCACAGAGAAATGATAATCCTTATTTCATTATACTATCATTATAATTTACTATCATTATAGTTATACTATCATTATAGATTACCTTTAACTAATCTATCATATTAATTCCAAATTTTTCCTTCTTCAGATGCATTTCTGCTTTCTGGAGTGATATCTCTGATAAATACCACAGTGATTACAACTAGATCATGCAGTGTGGCTCCATATAGAGATCTCCAAGTTATCACTTAACAAAGCTTATCACTTAAGCTTATCAAATTATGGCACTATAAAACCCATTTGGGCTATTTCACGCCTATTCTTTACCCCTGGTCACACTGCTCTGCAGTGCAGTGTGTATCACAGCAAAGTCAGGAAAGTTTGTCAGCATTCCTCCTATTTAAAATTAAACTTTTTATTTTGATTACCTCAAAGCCTAAGACTATTTAATTAAAACAAAAATAAATGTATCTTGAATAAACATCCTCTCCACTTAATACTTGTAGTTGGATTATTCCCAGTGTCAGACCCTCATGGACACAGGCAGCATCTTCCAGATTTTGTGGACTTACCACAAAATGCTGTAGGCATTCAGCAAGCTACAGCAGTTAAGTAGTTATTTCAAATCTGAGATGACTTTACGTTTCCTGAAAGCTACATGGACACTGCAGAAGCAGATGAACTCTCTACAACTTCAGTACAACTTCTGAAATCTCAAATACTGCTTACCACACACAGAGGATGTTCTCATCCCTGCTTTGATAAACACTTATCTTTCATAATATCAAGTTAGCAGTTGTCAGAACATTTAAGAACATCACCAAAGGAGAGGGAAAGTAAGGTTTCTTACTTTTGTTTCTCATGGTTACTGTGGGTAATGAAGAGGTATCATGTGCCTGCAGCATCCCTCTCTGTGGCTGAAAGAAAAATGAATTTCACTGTAATTTCTTCCTCCTTTTTTCCCAGCAATTTGTTCCATATAACTAAATTAAAAAAGTTATGTTTTTCTGAATCCTGTCAGAACAGATCAGTTTTTGGTTGTACCTGTATTTTTAAACATATTTCTTTCTTTCTTTCTTTCTTTCTTTCCCCCCCACACCATTGAAATGGGCAAAATAACAGATGGAGAAATAGGAAAATGAGAAAGTGCTGATAGTACTGAAGAGAACTGAAAATCATACTTGTATAAACATTATTTATCTTGGAGAACCAGGTTCCTTGCATTTGAGGTAAGCATAAACTCTGTGTGTTCCTTATATAAACGACATATTTAATAGTTTTCACATAGGGCACAGTGCCTGAAGTTCTTTCCAACAAGCTGGGAACTTTGTGACATATAATAGAAGATGTTATATATCTGCATAAACTTTTTTTGTTTATTCAGTAGAGTACATGAACTCTCTTACCTTCATTTTGACCTTTGCACAAGAAGCAAAACTCTCCTTACAGCCTTTGTGAACAATTGCATTGCAGTCTGTCAAAAGTAAAAAACCCAACCAATTAAACAAAACCATACAGAAAACAGGTCAGTTTTCACCATTTGTAATCTGAACTGTTAATTTACACAACTGAGAATTACAACTTTCAAGTATCATTGTGGTTTACACTAGTAGCTACAAATACTGAGAGACAGGCTCCTCTCCAGGATAATTAGCCTTTTGTTTGTTAATAAGATTTCCTCGAGGAATTTAACAGGAAATTCTGTTTAAAAATCAATGCAAGGTTGAGCTGCCAGGGGTCTTAACCAGTGGGTCTTAAATTAAAGAAAAAAAAAGGAAAGAAAAATGATGGCATTATTCCTCTGAAAGTAAGGTGGAAAGCTGAAGCAGGAGATGGAAACTGAAACCAATTGTAGGGCCAATATTTTCTCTGAGAACAGAAATACTGTTCTCATCAAAACACGGACTGTGAGATCCAAAAGACAGGAAAATTCATTTACACAAACTCAGACATCACAGGCAAGATCTACAGCACAGAAACCCACAGGGTTTTACTAAAGGGTTACCAGAAGAAGTAACAGGACCATGTGTCAGGTGACCATGTCCAGGAGGTTGGGACTTCCTGCTGAAAACTGCACTGAAGACACCGTTTTGGTCGGAAACCACAGCACCCACCAGTGCAAAGACCATCATGCTTTAACCCCAGCCTTTGCTGCTCACAGGCCAGAGCAAAAGCTGTGTGGTTTTTTGGAATACCCTGAGTCCGCCCATGATCTCTGCCAGCAGATTTCTGGGAAAGGATGATTAAAACTACTTTTTTTTTTTTCATAATAATTGATAATAGGATTTGAGGCTGTAACCCTTTCGGCAGATAAAAGATCACAATGCAAATGCTCTCAGATGAGATTCAGTAGCTTAGAGAAAATTATTTCCACTCATTCGTGAAAACACTAACACAGATAATGAATTGTACTTTACATTTAAGTTACACAGTAAGCGTAAAGTTCAGAATTATTCTTGAAAAATAAGAAAGGAAAAAATTCCATGTCCAGAATGACAACATATGCTCACATTCCTAGTATTTTTTACATTTAGGCCTACTTAACAAAAGCCAGTAATTCTGATATTTTGACAGAGATAAGGGTAAGGCCATAGGGTGTTGCTATTCTGTCATCTCACAATTTCCTGTTCAAGAAAGACAGAACAAAGAAACCTGCGTGTTCTTGCAGAAACCCACAAGCACTATCATTTTTTCAGATCAAACAAGGAAGGGGGACAGAACCTGCTTCTGGTGCACAAAGACAGGCAGCAAGACAATTCAGAATCATTAAATTCACACTCAGGCCTTGAAAGCCTGAAGGCAGCTCTTTAGTATGTACCATTTGGCAATACAACATCTGGATTTTTTAGATTGAAAAATCTGGTTTCAGGGACTTTATTTCATCTATTAAACTCTTCAGCAGGCAGGAAGTTCCTCCAACTTCTCTCTATCACTAGTATTAATAATTAAAACCCCCAAAAGCTTATTTTCTGCATTACTGATCGTAAAAAAAATTAAAAAGACCAAGCAGGAAGCTATTAAAAGTTAGGCTTTTTTGCTTGCCCATTTGTTTTACAGTAGTCTCAATCTTTTAGCATTGACTAGCTGTTTCAGGAAGCTGAGGGGCATCACTGAAAAGCTGAGACATTGATTTAAAATAATCCAGTGCTTTAAAAGGCATTAAGAAAGAGTCATTCATAGGCGAGACAGAGCAGTGAAGCTCACTAGTTTGCAATAGCACAGGAATAACAGAGCCTCTGCTGCTGGTTATCCACAATTTCCAAAACATCTGATGGTTGATTTTAAGATGCAATAGGAGGAAGGAGCACCCTCAGATGTGAGATTTCAACCCAGGCCCTCATCAAACCTTCCTCATGGCATTCGTTTCTTGTCCAATGCAGAACATTAGAATGTAGAGAAAATTAAATTGGGATATATTTGATTTTCTAAGTGGCTTCAGAAGCCAAAGAAAGTTGAATGGGGAAAGGGAGAGAATGCATTTGAGAGCTTATAACTGTTGATGTTTTTCATTTCCCATCAGGCTGACACAGAGTGTGTTTCATGCAAACAACTTTGCTGAAATCTCTTCCAGGAAACTCAGAACTGCCATTCGGGATTCAGCTGGCTGCCCCTTCCCCTGCTCACATCTACCAGGAGGAACAGAAGGCTCCAGCCTGGGAGCAGTTCCCATAAAGGCTAGTGGAGTAAAAAATTACTAATAGTGAGGAAAGAAGAGCCCTGAGCTGCAGTGGGAAAAAGACATTTTTGTCTTCATATTCTATAGCTTTGGGCTGCTGCATAAACCAGGCAGCATTCTGGGCTTGACCACACAAAATCTGCTGACTTTATCAAGCTACAGGCATGAGAAACTGTGTGATAAGAGAACAAAATCACCAATCTGGCAGAAACCCTCAGATGTGTTTCCCGTCCTGCCTGGACTGTAGTGCACGTACTTCACACACACACACACACACTTGTGATGCAATTTCTTGTAAAAAGGGAGAAGATGGTGAGTATTTCCTTTTTGTACCATGTGGTTTTGACTGAGGGCTCACTGAAGCAGTATTTCAGAGAATGAAAACAATACACTACAGATGGAGGGGACTTTTTTTTCCCCATTGGAAGTAAAAGCCATGATCCAAGCCAGTTGTCCCTGTCCTTTGTCCATCTTATCAAAGCAGCTCAGGCCCAAGCCATAACATGCAGCTGAAATAAACAAAGTTCTCCAGCTGACTGACACAGCCCAACAAGGGGTAGAAAACCCCATGGGATGCTGTGATGGCTGAGCTCAAGCTTGGAATGAGGTTGCAGGACACCTCCATGCAGCTACGACTCATTTCAGTCCAGTTTCCACAAGGCAACTTGCTGCTGCTCCATGAATCACTATCTCCAAAGTCTCCCTCCCACCCTACATCCTTAAGCAAAGTGAAAAGAAGGCATAAGGTTCGCATTTTCCATGTCAGATTCAATAAAAAACAAAAGGAAGGGAGGGAACCTCCCCTGACTTACTTGCACAGTAGTACGAATCCTTATTGAAAGGCTTCATACAGTGGTAACAGGTTGCTTGGGCTACAACGGAGGTTGCAGTGAAGGCATGTCCATTTGACTGCTTCTTATCTTTTTCCTTCTCCTTGGAATCTTTGTCCTTCTCTTTAGTCTTCTCTTTATCTTTCTCCTTTTCCTGCAGAGAGAAAATGACCAAAAGCCTCGTTACTCTGCAGAGGTCTATTCTCTAGTTACAAATTCCTCAGTGTTTGCCTTTGGCACTGCAACAATATTGACCAGTGCACACCTTAACAATGGTCATGTGTCTGCCCAGCTCTCCGTTACAAAAACCACCTCACAGCCCCCATGGATGTGGATTTACATACTACTGACTCACAGATGTCTCATCAGCAGATATGAAACTCAGTCTGTTCTGAAGGCAGCTATTTTCTTTCACCTCTGTTTTATATTTGTTGGTTTAATGACTTTACCTCTTTTCTTCTGGGCTCTCATCAGCCTCTTCAGTGCTTTCAATGAATTGTGTAAAATACAAACACCACATGCAGTGTGTGCCATATTTCCAACACAGTTAATTTTTAAGGCCAACCTGTAAAGCTTGAGATTTGCAACTGCATTTTTAATGGAGAACACAAGCTCTTCCTCAGTGCCTGTACAGCCTCACTGCCAGAATATTTCCACCTCTGTTTTCCTTCCAACTAGCAACTTTTTCAATAGTTACGTGCAACCCCAGGTAATCATGTGAAGTTTTGTGGGAAAATGGATCTTTTACAAATTCTTGACATATGGCACCACAGAAAGGCAGAGGAACAACAGCAACGCCATAAAAGATACTCATCTTCACAAAGCACAAGCCACAGTTCAACCTCTGGGCTACTCAGATTTGGAAAGATGACAAGCACAGCCAGCTTATCCAACTTTTAGCAGAGTTTCTGCTTACTTTTCTATCGCTACCTTAGATAGAAAATACTAAAAATTTGAAACATTTTTCCCTGCAGCTTTTCATGGATTTGGAATTCTTCCAAACAACTTTTAAAGGAAACTCCACAGAAAAACTCCAAATTTGAATTACAGCGACTCCTTGTCTTTCTATGTACCAACCTATAACATGTTTACCATAAGATTCAGCTGCAGGTCTGTTAACTGTTACTGTGGATTTCCTGGCATCTGAAAGAGAAGCTTAACCAGAAATCGGTAAAGGCTTCTGTGAGCTTATCTTTGCATTTTGTTATTTATATGCTATGTGTAGTCTGCCTAATATTGTCACAGCCTGAATATCAGAGAGCTGCAGAGCAGCCCATGGGAGCAACTGCCATGAAGTGGTTAAAAGAGGTATCGAGCTCTGCAGTCACCAGCAGAGAAACTGTTGAGCTCTTGATGACACACTCAAATAATGAGTAACTCAGCCTAAGGACTCTCTTCTCCCAACACTTCCCAGGCAAAATGCCCAGTGTCGGAGTCTCTCCCTGTTAAGTGTCATAAACAAAAAGTCTATTTACTGGCCCCAAACACTATTTTGTTCTGCAAATAAGCAAAACTAGGAGCATTACCATATGGAACAATCCTGTCTGAAGCAGAAAACCTGCCAGGAAGAGTCTTGTGTTGCATCTGTGTTGCATCATATCTCCGCCTCCTTTGAGCCATCAGCTTGGCTCACGGCCCCACAGAAACCTCTACAGTCTCATCCTCCATCCACTGACCTGCCCCCCTTTAACCATGTCCAGTCTGGCAGGATTCAAGAAATTAAACTGCAGTTTAGGCCTTGGCTGATGGTATTAAGATGATGCCTGGAGTTTTGCTCTATTGCCAAGTCTTGTGAAGCTCCAGGAGAAAAGATCACTCTAAGCTCAGGGCAAATCTTGTGACTCTCATGATGAAAGGAGATTTCCCATCCTATACTTTAAACCTACCTGATGTCTACTGCAAAGCCCAGTAATTCTGAAGTCTGGAATAATACCCTGCCTTCATGAAAATTACTGTAAAAAACATTTTAATTAAAGCTGAACGACCCTAGAAAAAAACAGGAAATGGGTGCACCACTTTCAAGGAGGAAACAGCGCAGTACGCACAGGCTGCCAGCCACTCCACTGAAGGACAAGGTCTCAAAACGAGATTTTTTTTTTTCAGCTTTTTTCCTATGACAGTTACTGGAACTTTATTTTTAAAAAGGACTGTAAAAAAACAAGACCATTTTCCTGAGCTGTTGGAGCTGCCAGCAAGATTTGAAGCCCGGCTCTGCGGCTGAACCGACGCGCAGGAACAGACACGACAGGTACCGCAGACCCGAAGGAACAGACCTGCAGCAGCCGATCCCTCCCCCAAAGAACCACGAAGCTCTTACCTCCCAGTGCTTAAGTCCTACCAGCTTCACTGTTATCTGAGGTACTTCTGCAAACCTATTCCATTTTATCGACATCCTTCCCCCGGGGGGCAGGAGTGCTGCTCCCCACCAGCACTAGCCCATCCTGACGGCCGGGAGCTGCTGGCAAGGGCAGCTGGGGGGATGGCAGGCACAGAGCAGTTGAGCAAAAGGGGGAGGGCGGGACGATTGCTGCTAACTTCCTTGAAGATGATTTTAGCTACTCTGCTGGTGCTTTCATCTTGCCCTACCCTAGCTTCCACTGCTAAAGAGATGAAAAAAAAATACACAGGGCAGAAAAGGATGTGATTAATCTTTTAGAAGTCACAAGTCACCACGAGACCACCCATTTAAAAGGTAGAGGGTAGTAAATCAAACACTCTGTGATGTTTGGGATAGAAATAAAGCGAATTTTAACACACCTCAGTGTCACTATGCAGTACTTCAGCAAACAAAGTGCTGCAGAAAATGCCCAAACAGAAAGGTTTTGTGTGTTTGCGCTCCTCCTGCTCTGCACATCAGGAATATTCCCTGTCTCCTAATCCTTTCAGACACTTACAATTCCTACTATGTACACTGAAACGCTGTTGGTGGTATAGCACTGCCTTGTCACTGCACAAGGCAAGGAAAAAGAGAAATTACTCATGCTAATTGTCGTCATTTCTTAGAAACCCTCTACCAGAAGGGAAAAAAATGAAGTTTTTCTTTTTTTCCTGAATTGACAGAAATAGAGCATGTTTTAGACTTCACAAATGTGAATCAGGGCACGTTGCTAATAGCAAGAGATTCACTGCTAATCCCTGAATAACACTGAATACATGCCAGACATGGGAAAATTCACACAGACTTCTATCAGTATCTTCTACAGTTAATGCCCCAAACACCTCTTTATTTTTAAGAGTTTTTTACATAACAGTTTACATGATTTTCCAAAAGAGCTGTTGCCATTAGTAGGCTCAGGGGTGCTTTATTTTACAGTTCATCTTAGAAAACAGTGCAGGTTTGGAGACAAGTAAAACCTAGTTGGAAAGAAGCTGAAGCGAAGCGTCCCTCCCTCCTGACAGCCCAGACAGCAGCAGAAACCAACTTCCTGTCAAACTTCCTCTTTTAAGGTTTGTTGTTTTTCTTTCTAATACTTACCAGTTTTCCTCAGCCGTAATGCTGCTGAGAAATCAGTGTTCCCAAGGATTTTTTGGTAAAATAATCCTTAGGATTTTTAGGCTGGAGCCCAAAAATGTAAGGTGTTTTCTTAGGCTGAAGCCCCAAAAAAGTATGTCATGCAAACATTCCACCGTAAGCAGAGACGATTGTAATTTGAATATATCCTGGCTTTTTAATTAGTAAAAATATCAGAATTGATTATCAGCTGCAATTTCTGTAGTGTGTGTTATTGTAGGGATTTTGGAGCAATTTTTTATCAACACTTTCAGACGCAATCATGACATAAGTGAAATCAGCCTGCACTTACTTAACAAAAGGAGAGCAAATTTCTCAAAGCAATTCTGTTGTATTTTCTTGTGTGTCCCAACCAGATCTCTTATCTTTCTCTTTAGTTCTTGCTTTAGAGCTTATACATCCAAAGTGCAAGAACCAGTTAATGAATTTTCAGTCTTGTTCACAGTCTGTGCAAAATGCTCCTGAACTTCTCACTGGTGTTTGCAACAGAGGTTTCTATGTAAGAAGATTTGGTTTTCGGCATTGTACTCTGCAGCAGGGAACAGCATTGTCTTAAAGCTGCTCAGCAGGAGCTCTGAGCCACTGCCACTCGTGGCTTTGCATCTTTAAAGGCAGATCCCTAAAGAGGAACTGTGTGTAATTACACTTCTCGGGGGCCTTCCAACAGTATTTACCAACATATTAGCTACACATCACCTAATGATACAATACACACTGCCCATAGCGAGGTAAGGTGCTCTGAGCTTCAGTCAGACAAATAAAGAGAGGTAAGATTCAAGTAAAAAATACCCAACCAAGCCAAAAAAACCCCCCCAAACATATATTAAACTTAAGGGGACAATCTAAGGCAACGACTACACATTTGTGTGAAGTATCTAGCATTAATGTAATTATTTCTGTAACCAACACGGTTCCCAGGAAATTCAGCTGTGCTGAGCAGCACTTATCTTTCAGCAAATTAAATTCCAGGGTTTCAAGGATGGAAGAAAGGTGAAAATATAAATATTTGCCATCACCAAAGGTCACTGTTTGAGCAATGTCTCTTGCAGTGCACAGAAACTTTGTGGCAAAAGTAAAAATACAATGAAAACCTACTACAGCCTTCGGCAGCCAGTCCTTTCTTACAGCTCCTGTCCTCATTTTATTAAAAACCTCTCGGGTTCTGTAAAAATTAAACTCATCAATCACTTCAAAGTCATAACTCATGCCAGAACACAATCTATTCTCTATAATAAATGAAACTTCATTTTGTGGAGATAAGAGTGAAAACAAAGAATCAAAGAATCGTTGAGTCTGCAAGGTTGGAAGAGACCTTCAAGATCATCCAGTCCAACCATCAACCCACCGTAACCTCCCTAAACCACATCACTCAGTGCCAAATCCACCACCAACCTGGGCAACCTATCCCAATGCCTCACCACCCTAACAGTGAAAATTTTTTTCTAATATCTAAGCTGAATCTCCCCTGACTCAGCTTAAGGCCATTTCCTCATATCCTCTTACTGCAAGTACTGTGCACTCAATCCCCATGTCCAGATCATCAATAAAGATGTTAAGCAGGACCGGCCCCAAAACTGAGCCCTGGGGAACACCACTAGTGACCAGCCATCAGCTGAGTTTCCAGAGTGTGTCCTAGGGCTCAGTTTTGGGGTGCTAAGATTTCCCATGTAGCTAGTCCCTGTTACAACACAGACAATCCTCTCCTCACAAAAGACAGAAAGGAAGTAAAAGAAAGTAAAGACGAGAAAGTTGGGCAAAGACTTAAATACCACCCTATGGAAACACAGAACTGAAATACAGAACTCCTCTCTGCTGCCTATGGGCATTTCGTGGCTGCATAAATCACAAGAAGCACTTACTTTGCTCTTCTTGCTGCTGGACATTTTATTCCTGAGGTAGCTGAAGGTGCGACTGACTTTCGTTACACCTTTGCCAGCGGGGACACTGCTGCTTTCTTCAGATATGCTAGAATCAAAAAAGAAGAAGGGTTGCTTTTATTTTTTTTTCATTTCCCAAAGCATCTATTAAATGTATAGATTTTTTTTTAAAGGAAAAATGCATTTATTAGTGAATTGGGTCAAAGGTTGCTTTATGGTGTTGTACCAGAGAAGGAAAAGTGAAGACAAAATGCCAATCCAGTTGGTTTGAGCTAAATTTCAAGGAATCCTCATATCTGTTTTTAAGCAGGCCTTGACATAGCACCCTCTACTGCTCCCCTGGTCAAATAACCAGAAACCATTGATACTTTAAAGAGCAATCTCCTTCCAGAGAAAGGCATCTAATGAACTCTGAAAAGGCAGTGAGTGCTTTCAACAGAAACCACACTGCCTGCAAAGCCTCCCCTGAGAAATGAGAATACCAATACTAAGTAATAAGCAACAATGGTGGATTAATTTAGGCATTTTTAGGATGCCAGTTATTTTTTGCCAGTCTTTACATGCACAAGATTATGACTTCAGCTACAGTGGAAGAACAAGGAAACTACTACTGCATTAAAGGACACAGTCTATCAATAGGAAGTACAACACAAACCAAAAGCAGAACAACAGAAATATAAATTAAATCAAGGAGGAGAAAATAGCAGCAAGTAGAAGGGAATAGCCTCCCACTTGTGAAATAAAGCTGAAGCCATGAGAGCCACAGAGACCAGACACCCAGCTCCCTTGGTGCCACAAACGTCCCTCCTCTGGGGAAGCACTTTTTTTAAAGACACCAGGAAAATTATCTCGTCTGCACAACTTGCAAGGATGAAAAGTAACGTACAAAACCACGATTGTTTTGGTCTTTGTAACAGAGATACAGACTGAATTAGCCACAGGGAGGAAGAACTACTTTCAGTGTAAAATATAACTTGGGGTAAACTGATGTTGTGCAACAACAGATAATCTGAAGTTATTAGCTATGCATAAACACAAAGCCTTGTTAAAAATGAGACCTAGAACAGAGTTTCACATTCTATGCCCTAAAATATTCTTCAGCTTTTAGACACATGAGACTGATGTTCACAAATCTGACAACTTCTGATTTCAGCTGGAGGGCACTGGTGCCAGGAAGGTTTTTGGGTGTCCAAAGCAGAGCCCACTGCAGGAGCCCCATCAGAAGAGAGTGGCACCCCCAGAATACTGTACCTCTGAACTGAGGAACCCGTGGAGCCGCCGAACGACTGCGTACCTGGAAGAGATGGGAGGGGTGGGGGGTGACACGTTAGACTGCAATCTTAGCCCACTGATCCTACAAAACACAGTTTGTGTATTTGGACGGTTCAAGAGGAAAGGGAAACGCTTTCCAGAAGTGAGTGTTTAGAATAGATTTCACGTGCTCAGGATAAAGCTTGTTCCCTGTATCCTTAGCTGCTCTCAAATTAGATGCTGAGGTGAAAGCCTGCTTAGTATTTTTATCAGTCTTCAGCTATTAAGCAAAGGCCGTGCAACTGTCAAACTTGCTGGTAAATCAGGCTGTCTGAATCAGAACTGCCAATTCAATGACAATAGGTATAAATGAGAATGATTCTGCCACAATGCCTTTATTTATACACCACTAGAAAGAATCCATTGTACAACACATCCGGGTTTCATGCATAAAACTTTTCTGCTTGATAAAATTATAGTTCATTTTCCCATCAAAATCCTGAAGCACTTCATAAAGAGTAAGGGAAACAAGGGAAGCCTTATTCTGTTTTCCACAAAACGTTACCAGCCTGGGGCTTCGTCACAAAACACTGCTTGAGGAAAGGCTGAATTTCAACATGAAGCTGAAGTCCTGCCAATGGCACCAGTTCTCTTTATACCACAAGAAACCTGCTTGCACAATGCATTTGGAGCAGACTTGGGAGCTGACACCATTTACCAGAACCATCGAAGAACACTGAAATGATCCAGGACACAGGGCTCTCTCTGGAGCAACTGGGCTTGCCAGGACTCCGAAAAACCCTCATACAAGCCCTGTTTGCAGCCCTTTCTGAAGTTCATGAAGCAGCATGACTGTCACCTTATTAGGCTTCTGCATATATACTGTAAGGAAAATAGTATTTTGGTTCAAATTCTGTTAACATATTAATGCTAAGGGTGAACGCAAAAGAGCTACTTGCCATCAGAAGGAAAGATGGTCCTTTATCCAAAAGCAGTAAGTGCATTAGGAAAAACTGTGCACACAATATTATGCTTTAAATATCGATTTTCTAACCACCCGTTCAAGTGCCAGCACAGACAGAAATATCATTTCTTCATATTGAGAAACTAAAATACAGGCATACCCCATTACCCAGTCCCTGCTTGGGGATCTGTGTTAATGTTTCCCTTGCAGAATCTTTCACCTCATTAATGATCTATCCCAAATCCATCAAAGTTAGTAATACTGTAACATATACAAAATGAAGTCTACTATTTAATTTCCAATAGGGGATATCATATTTTTATATAATATCCACTACCTAAGCACCTACTAAGATCACACAAGTAATTTACAGGCTCCCAAATCCCTGGCTAAAGCTTCAGTGACTCTGGTTCACATTTCAGTTCCAGTTTGCTTTTAACCTGAGTTAAGCCTCCTTAGTATTTCCTTTTTTTTAAATCAATTAATCAGTTTGACTGGATTTAAGTATTTCACAAACCTTTTTGTCTCTTTGCAATTAACATAAGAAATACAAACAAACGCTGAACCAAGAGCTGTAATAATTTGATATTTGTGACTAGTTTTCAGCACCTGGAGAAAGTGTGTTGCATGGGAACTTCAATTATGTATAATTTATCTTTTACTATATTAGTGTTTTATCATAAAAACAGGGGATTTTGATTCTGGCAGGCAAAGTGGGTCCAGTCAAAAATCAAGGTCTGTTTATTATTTTATATTTTAGGTTATAATATAACATCAGATAATCAATACTGCTGCAAGCTATAAACCCCATGAAGACAAGCACAGAAAAGCACACACCTTCTCATCTTCAGGTTTGGTTCTGAAGTATAAGAGGGGAAGGAAGGTTTATTTTCACAACTTTTTTGTTTCCTGTCACAACCAGGATCAAAACTGAAATGCTAAAACCAACCTCATAACCCACAAAAAAAATTAAGGTTGGTTTGTTTTTTTTTTCCAAAAGCCAGAACTGCTATTTACGTCCAATGAATCTGGGCTAGCAGCCAAATTTTGGCATATTTATGTGAACACCTTTTAAGCATCACCCTCCAAAATTATTTCATATGGTAGCTGGACTTGAAATAATTTATCAAGATCTGTTATGCAGAAAGCAGTGACTGGATTAGGATGTTGCAAACCAGCTCCCTAATTCTGTAATTTAACTTTCATGAGTCAAGAAATACAAAGGCTCCATAATAATTGTCCAGCCACCTGAAATCCAAGTCTTAAATATACCATATCATCACAAAAACTGCAACTAATCCTCCACAATCTAGACCAGAACAGGCATGGAGAGGTTGAGGAGCAGTAACTGAAATGCAAGTGCAATCTCAATGTTAACACATCTGTCCTTTTATGAGAAATGAATCCTGAAGATGTGAAAAAATAAACTGATCTGGGAATACTACATTAAAAATGCCCACTGCCCACTGTCTCGTGAATAGCTGTGGCTAAACCAACCTTTATATAAAGTCACCAAAGCACCCTCAAATATGAGGGAATAAAACACATGTAAAGAGACCAACATTTTTGTTTGAGACAATATCTGATGTTATTTTAAATGATCATCATTAGCAGGAGCACTGTTGGAGAAGAGAAGGTAAATACTGACTAACATAAGTATCCCCTAAAATTGTCATACTCTAACCTATTAGTTATTACTTAATGGGTTGGATGCTTAAAACAAACAAACAAAACTAAATAAAGTAATAAAAAATAACCCAAACCCACACATACACAAAAAACCCAATAAACCTCCAAAAGAACAAAACTCCCCAAAAACAAACAAAAACAAAAAAACCCAAACAAGTAAAAAAACCTAACAAACAAAAAAACTCCAAATCCACCAGAAAGTTTAGCTGAGGGTACTTTTTACTGTGGAGCATCACACTGATGCACAGCTGTATGTTTACAGTTCACTTTGTGAGGACTATGAATTTCGAGTTTTGTTAAAGGCAGAAGAGAAGAACAGAGCAAAGATGAAGGAACTTAGGTATGGAAGTCAGTAATACCACACCTGGGTACAGGACTTTCTTAAGGAAGGGACAAACCCACAGGGAAGACTAGGAATGGAAAGGACGAGAACTTAGATACCTACAACATGGATTTTAGATTGTGGTGTTGGAGATTGTTTTAAATTCAAGAAGCAACCAAAATGTGTTGGATGGGAAAGCAGTTTCCCCCCATTCCAGTATGGACACAAGGAATGTGTCTGGTTTATTTCAACAGTCTAATAAAATATGCTTAAGAAATAGGAAACATTTTTAATTATCTTTGATAAGCCTATTAAAAAAAGCCAAGAGGAGTCTAAATTACATTAATTCAATCTTCAGCCTCAGTTGGGCTTCTTTTAGTAACAGTTTGCAGGAGGAAAAAAAAGCTACCGGATCACTCTTGCCCGTTTCCCACAAAACTACTCTGATAATAATATCAGGACCTAGATATGAACACATTGAGGATTTAAGGTGTTTGACTGCAGTGTGTGCTTTTTGCTTAGGAGGGGAACTGTGAAGTTGCAACCAAGATTTTCAGAATTTAATAATCAGGGCTTCACTCCACTTCTCTTTCACTGAGCAATGTACTCACTCTTACCCAGGAAGGGCAAGGATCTACCTCTGCTGCTAACTCCATGCCCTGCAACAAGCTCAAGGCAAGTTCTTTTGGTTTTAATAAAAAGGTAAAGATTATATTGCTGGTCAGAGTGGCAGGTGATATTTGTCACTTGGATACAGACCAAAACTAACTGGATAAGACATGATGGCGCTGATGTACAAGATTCTTTGGATTATAATCCTTTTATTCTGCTGTTAGCTAGTATTCAGATACAGGACTAAGATAATGCTGTTAGACATCACGCAATGGAAAGGTTAGTTCAATGTTTGCAAGGTGAAATTCCAAGGTCTAAAGCAGAAAACCAGATTTCCCTTTGTTTCCACCCATAATGGCTGCAACGCACAGAAAACAATTACTTACTATCCAACTCCTCCTCCTCATCACTGGAAGAAGAGCCAATAGAAAAGAGAGTTTTAGACTTAGGAATGAGTGGAGAGATGCTGAAGGAGAAGGAGATTCGTCTCGATGGTCGAGTCCGGCCCTGGGCTGAGAAGTGGGTTAACAGCAGACATTAGAGCATGCTTGAAAATGCATTTAATAATAAAAAGGAGAGGAAAGCGGCCAAAGCAAACTAAAACGAAAGCAAAGGAAACGTCTGCAAAGCAGCTGGATCCAGAAAAGGCACAAGAAACAAAGAATTGAGAACATGCAGTCTCCAGAGGGTGCAAGTTTCAGAGGACGCAGGTCTCACTGCATGCATAGCTTAAGGTTCAAGGCTTTCCCTATTTTTGCTGGTATCTTTTTTTATAGGACCTCTTAATGAAGACTTATATGCAAACAGTTATTTTCCCAAACAGAATACCAACAATAAAGGGAGTCTCTGGACAAAGGGCATCAGCTTCACCAAAAGAATTGCCAGGGAATCAAAATAGAACAACTCAAGATAATTGTTTGAAGGTGCTTTCTACCATTAAATGACACAGCAAAACTGCCAGATATTAGCAAGGACAGTTTATCTGAAGTGCTGACATAATCTATCTGGGGAGGTTCTTGCCACTTCTATATCTAAAAAAAAAAATCCCCAAATTTTGGTAATGTTACGCCCTTCAAAATTTCCAGCTTTAAAGAGGAGACACTTAAGCTTCCTCCCTTTTCTTCCAAAATAAAACAGAAAAAACAACCATGTCTTCTGCTGCCTTCTAAAACTCACAACCCTTTTTTTAAAGAAACTGCCTAAACATGAGAAAAGCTCCTCTGCACCCTCTTCTGTCCTTGTCTGGAAGATGCCTACCAAACACAGTGCCAAACTCAGCAACCAGTCTGTGACATCAAATCTCCCACAATTTATTTTTAAGAGCAAAACCCTGCATAGCAGCAGCTTTGCAACAATTCTTTCTAAGTACACTCTTCTCCAAAAAGAGATGCAGGAGCCAGATTGTCACTCTTCACTGAAAGTGGGATTCCCAAGGGCTGTATTTTCCAAACCTTTTCTTCATACAAGCGCAGCTCTGAGCTGTGACCTGATTGCTGGATACCCATCACTGACATGGGGCATCAGTGTGTCCTTGGGAAAGATGACTGGGACAGCATTGGAGAAACTCTGCCCCTGAGACAGGTCTGACCTAAGGGTCCTACTTAAGCATCTACATTAAACATCTTCAGTGCATATATTCAGTCATTTTTAAGTCATTCCATGGATAAATCAATTCACTTGCACAACAGGGAAAACAGGCTAAAGGCTTTATCAGCATTAAACTTCCAAGAGACAGAAGAAGCAATTATTGCTCTCTTTGAATAAAACATGTCCTTTCAGCCACACACAATGAGAATTTTTTGCATTGCTGATATCATACGTCAATACTGAATTCAGAATATAAAAAAACTGTCCGAGGAATATCCAGTGCAATGCAAGCAATGCAAAGCAAACTCCCCAGAAATTTTCCTTCAGCCATTAATCATAAATGCCAATGGTCCGTCCAGAGGCAATTTGACTAAAATGTGCACACTTTTCCAACATAAGCAGAACAACCCTAGAGGGACTCAATATAAGGCATTTAAATTGAAGAACTCTTAGCAAGACTGATGCATTAATTTTGTTTAGACTGCCTTTCAAAGGAGTTGTTCTAGTGTCCCAGACCTGAAGAACATGATTAGGCAACACTGCTTTTTCTTCTGTAGTCTACTGTCTATTTAGACTAAAAGTCAAGATGAACAATAATACTTTACTGTAAATTGAACCACCTTCTCCAGCACAGTTCTACTTCCATTTCAGTGGTTTTATTTATAGCAATTCCTGGCTTTATAACAGTGCTCCACACTGGAAATTTGCTATTCCAAGGCCAAAAGCATTCTTCCGAGCACTCCAGCCAAGAGCTCTTGTGACCTCCCTCTATAAAATGCTGAAGGATTAACAGTTGTGAATGGCCACAACAGCTCTTGGAACATCTGAGAAATCAGATGGGAGTGTGGGATAGAAATACAGTCTTGGAAACTGCTCCTGCCTCAGCACATGTGACAATAAATGGTAAAAATAAGATAAATTCCTCCATGTATTATTAATTTGGATTTAGTTTTTAAAGTTTTTGTGCAAAGCACATTGTTATCTTCTCATTCAGACACAGTTGCAGGGATCAGATGTTTGGTTTTTTAAATTTTTTTAACACCTACCACAAAATGATACAAAATTATTTCCATGAAATCAATTTTTACTCTTGCACAACTCTGAAGTGTTCTGCTGAAATAACAGGAATGTCAAACCCCAGTGATACAAGGAAGTTTATACACTGAGACCTTCTAAAAGGCACTAAAGCTACTTCACGTGTCATATGGTCACAATTCAAGCAACACTATTCTTCTTCCAAAGTGACTGAGGAAGAATGAAGTAAAATCATAGAATCATAGACTGGTTTGGGTTGGAAGGGATCTTAAAGATCCAATCCCCCTGCCAAGGGCAGGGGCATCTTCCACTAGACTGGGTTGCTCAAAGCCCCATCCAGCCTGGCTTTGAACACATCCAGAGATGTGGCAGCCCCAGCTTCTGTGGGCGATTTACTGAAGTTTCTGAAGTCAAGAAAGAGTCAGGATTGGGACGAGAATCCATGATCTGAATTTTCAAAGTGATTATTCCTTTCGGATGCTTACATCAACCCCTCAAATGCATTGATTTTCAAAACCACGTTCCTATAAAAATGAGGCTCTTCTGAGGAATCACAAAGTAATGACTGAGAAAATAAAGCCCACAGGAGTGTTTGTAATTTTTAAGCTCAGCATCCCAAACTCACAGACATCTGCCTCAAAGCAGAAGATTAATGCTGCTATTTCTTCCGCAGCCCCTCTGGAGAGCTTACTACCTCTTCTCTTTTCCTTCTGTCTCCATGGGACCATGGTGCCTAGGCTGGCTCTAGAAGAAGATGGAATAATCAAAGCTGCCTACCACCAGCTCTCATGGCATTTTTAACGTAGGTCATAGGACAGAGAGGAGCAGAAAGGCAGCAAGTTGTCCAATTCCAAGATGGAAGCACAAATCCTCCACTGTCATAAACCCCCACCGTGGGCTTGAAGGAAAGTGTCAAGGGAGAGGGGGACGAACCTCAGCCGTCCAGGCTCCCCCAGCCATCAACAGCGTGTTTTCGGGGAGCAAACAGGGCTATTTATGGTACCTGGTCAGCGTTTGGGTGCAATGCCAATAAATTGGCTGCTCCAAAAACCAACAATGAAGGCCTTCAGCCCAAGGAGGGAAGCGGGAAGGCAGGATCCGGCCTTGGGCGGGACAGAGCTGCCCATGTTTTGGTTACTGTTGCTGGGGGACGCATCCGCTAGGCCACATTCTTATTAATCACGGAATAATCACGGCGAAGAATTTAAAAATGTCTCCTACAAAGCATAATCCCTGTGAGCATCCTCCAGCAAGCCTCCTCCGCGAACAAAACGCCTTTCTTAAAGCACCTTTGCCTTGTTCAGCTTTGCAAGGAAGAAGCACGTTAATAAAGAGGAAAGATCAGAGACCATCACTAATCGACAAGATGTGAGCTAAGATGTCAGTTTGGTTTCTGGCTGGCAATTAATAAAATGAAAACATGTGTAACGCAGCCCTTTCTAAGCACATCCAGCTGCAGCCTTCTGAATGACTTTTTCAGCTGAAAGAATCAATTCAGTCAAGTTGCAAAATTAAGTGCTTGTTATCACTTCAATTAAGCTAAACTGGAAAATTTCATAGAATCATCTTTTATTATTTTCTTCATGAATGAGATTCAATAAATTATAGCCAACTGCTCCAAAATATTTAACTCAAAATGAATAGCAACAAACTACCCAAAGGAGACCAAGACATGGATTCTCAAGTTTCCATGTATCAACTTTCAAAAATCTAGATGTAGGGAAATAAGATCTCATGTGGAATTTGCCTGACATCAATGGAAGAAATTCTGAAAGGATGTAAAATTAAATCCTTTTTTTTTTTTTAAATAACAAACTCAATTTGTACCAGTAGTCTAATTTAAGAAAAAAACACAAAAGAAACCTAACACAAAGAAATACTAAGGATACACTGGGAAAAACTAAACTAAGGATACACTGGGAAAAACTAAACTAAACTGACTGAGTTCTGCCTTTCCACCCACAATTCCATTGAGCAGTGAAACATATATTTCACATAATATAGGAGAGCAAGAGCAGCTACTAGCACATTCTGCCTTGGGAAGGTAGCAGGATATACTCAATAATACAGATGACAGCGTGGATAAGGGAAAACTGTGTTACTCACTGTCGAGCACTGGCTTGCTAATTGACATTAGAGACATGGATTTGGTCAGTGGAGATGAAGCAGCAGCAGAACAGAAATTAAATCCTTGTGGCTGCGATGTCTGACGCGCCTGCAGGACAGAAAAGAACCACACTGAGTAATTATGTAAAGAACAACAGAACCATCCCAACTTCAGATCCCAGTTCAGTGTTCATGTTTACTGAAATTCTCACTCTGAAACAGTGAAAAATTTAAACAATCCCAGAATAAGATAATAGGTGAGAAAGTCAAGTACCACGAAAAACGTAATCAGTGTTGCACAGGTGAAATGCAACATTTTGTTTTGTCTTTTAAGTGTAAGACAACTAATTGTGCAACAGAGAGACTCTGGCTGCTTGATTTTCTTGCAAGATATTACAAGGTAGATATTGTTAACTGTCTGACAGCCACTGAAATTACTGTTGTGACTCCAACTCCTCAACATAACTTGACTGTGGTTCAACACAGTAAAAGAAATCTGATGCTTAGCAGTGCGTACCCCAAAAATGCCATTCCCCAAAGCAAAGGAAGATGTGACAGTTGTGACATTACAGCTCCACAGGCCAGACCCTGTAAGACCCGTTTACTGCCTTGATGTACAGCAGTGACTTTATGAGGCAAACAGACCGGATGGTTAATGATTCTGACGTGAACCCAGAAAATACTATGGCTGAAAGTTCCAACTCAAAAATCCAGGGTATTTATAGTATTTAAAAGAATAATTACTTCTTTAATAACAATTAATAGGGAGTCTCATAATATTGTGGCTCATCTGTCCTTAACAGCTATCATAGACTTCTGTTCCAGAGAGGTTACTCCCTATTTTCTTAATATGCAATTACCATTTGTCTTTAATGAAACTTTTTATTCTGATTAAACCTATGAAAGAAAAAAACTTTATTTTCCTCCTATGATACAAAAATAAACCTGAAAACTTTAGCAGATAAATCAATACTTGGTATGTGTGTGTATTTCAGGACTGCAAAAGGCAGCATAAGCATTAATTGCAGAAGCAATTTTTCACTCAATAAACACCTTTGATTGATAGAATCACTATATCCATGCTAAAAATTAAATAACTTTTCCATAATTACTCATGCAATTGGTGGAAGAAAACTGGGAGGTTTCTTGTTCTCACCCTAAGACTTTGCCCATTAACCATGTTGTCCCAAAGAACCAAATAGCAAACTTAACACAGATGGAGATTCCCCTATGTTAAAGATGGAAGATTTTAAATTTTTATATATAAATATATATATATACACACACACATATAGGGTGGAAGCCTTTGTGAGACTGTCACTTGGGAAAATTACTTTTAAAATGTTGATGTAGCATTTTGCTGACATCTAACAATAGCTGGACAGTTTTACCTGGTGACCATAGTCTCTGATTTCTCCTTGCTCTTCAGTGAGCAGGACCAGGGACCCACACTGATTGCTGGCAAGTGGACTCCGCCTGAGGTCTTTGGAGCTCAGGGAAGAAGCCTCCAAGTTTGTAGAGGGCTTCTTGTTCTCAGCAGAGTCTCCAGCAAGGCCTTCTAGGCTGTAACTAAAGAGAAAGCACAGAGGTTAGATGCTGACAAGCTCCTAGGGACCAGTGTCTTTCAGCATAGAGCACCTTCACCTGTAAAACACACGGCAGTCACTAACTGAACTGTGCAGGGAAATGCAGATGTTACTGCTCAAACATGTTACTTCTATTTTCTTCAGAGCAAACTGCAGCACCTTTGTGCCTCTACTGAGACACAGGAGTTGCTTGAATGACCATTCAAACTCCTGGTCAATAGCCTTTCCTACTGCTTTTTTCCTATTCTTCTTGAGTGGTGCACAGGAAAATCCAGAAACACCCCTTCTAATGATTTTGGTATTTCCACATTTTTTTTTCTAGCTTTTTACTGGGCTCTCCCTTGGAATAAAGCCACCCAAATTAAACTACCTTGTAAGGCACGGTGCTGCCTGTCCTGGACCAACACCCCTCCCAGCAGCCACATCAGCTGCTGTAACATTCATCTCTGCAGCCACTGAATCTATTTTAAAGCTTGCCACTGCACAAAGTTTTGGCACTGATAATGTCCTTCTTTCTGCCAAACCTGGTTTCATTTCTACCTTTTCTGTCATCTTTTTCTTGAATTCAATACATGTTGTCACCCCCTCTTTCACATGGGACTATTTAATCTGATAAATCTTGACCTAATATTCTGCTTCTGACCCTCATGCTCTTCAGGCCCGAGCATCAACAAACCCACTGAAATGCCACTGTGGGATCATGTGCAAGCTTCACAGATTCACCTCCCAGTACACGAGCACAATTCCATTGTTGATATTTGATACTCACTGAGTCCTCCAAGGTCTACCTTGGATTTATATCCCAACCTGAGGCTAATCATGACATCTAAGTGGCCAACAAGCTGACATGTAAACAAATGAAAGGGAAAACACACTTTAGACTGTACAGATGATTTAAACAACCAGAGCAGTTTTAAATTCAGGTAGACTTGCAGAGCAGTGATTAATGTTCTGGAGTCCCTTAGAAGCATTAAGTGGCTGACAAATATGCACCTTGAAAGCAAAAACTGCAATAAACATTGAATAAGAAGATTTAGTATATTCAAAAGACTTTTTTTCATGGTAATTAATGAGAAAAAAAGGCTGGTTGAAGCATTTATAATTTAATCTGCTTTAAGAAGATTGCAACTCATCAATGTGTATTTATAGCAGGCACTAAAAAGTTTATTCTAAAACACCTGTAGAGAGAAATCAGTCCCATTTCTACTGATTATTTAGAGTAGAAGAATATTTTTTTCTTACATTCCAAGGTGGTAACAGTGATGGTACACGGTGCAGAAAAAAATTATGTACTTGTGACAAAACCAGCTAAAAGCTGCAAATATTACCCCATAAGATAGTTATCAGTGGGTGACACTGTTCTGTAATTTGCTGATTATATAGACCATATGTAATTAAATCTGTACTAGGAAGGACAGATTAACTTTTTTCTCAATATCTGCTCTTCAGAAAAAGAATTCAATTGTTCTACCCACAACCAGCAAGAACAGCCAGAGAAAATGCTAAAAAGCTATAAAATCTGGGGGACTGGCTTTCAAGCAATATTACGTGTAAAGAGGTGACCTGCAAACATCAATCTCAACTCTGGGACTTTCTGCAGAAGATGCAAGCTTTAAATGCCTGGGAAATTTTCATCTGAGGTGATCAGATTGATTTTTCACAGAAGGTTTTACATGATTAGTCTCTTTGAAGAAAAAACCAGATCTTTCAATTTACAAAGAATAAGTCTGTATGAACTTAAATCCTTTATGAGATTTATCTGGAACAGAGCAGTGTTGAATCATATTTAATCTTGTTCTGATTCTCTGGCTGACACAATTATCATAATGATCATTGCTGCGGAAAAAAACACGGCTTAAAGTCATCACGGAGCAGAGCAGCTCAACCCAACAGTGTAGCTTCTTTAATGCTGGAGGCCAGTGAAAAGCAGCCACCACCTTCACCTGCACCCCAGCTCAGAAGATCCATTCCCAAGACTAATGGTTGAAAAAGCAGACCAAGCAAACAAACACGTGCACGCTTCAGCCAGAGCAGCGGTGGGATGCACGAAAAGCTGACAACAGGGTGTTTGCAGTGCTCCTTTGCTGCTGCACATTTATTCATACCATACCTTCTACAAGTAAAGTCAGGACCCATGGCAAGGTACTGTACGCCTGAGGGACACCAGCTCAAACTAGGAACATCAAAAGAGGCAAAGAAAGGAAAAGGGCAGTGATTATTGGATTGTTATGGAACAGGGGAATGGTAAAAGACTCTCACTCTTACATATCTTGAAAAAAACCCCAACTAACCAATTCAGAAATAATGCAGTAGCATATGCCTGGTTGCACAAACACACCGCAGTGCCCCAAATGCCCGAGGTTACCACAACACAGGTAGCAGGACAGCCCATGCTTCCCCCAAACCAACCCCATTGGTGTACAATGTACTGGAGAAACCACTCTTTGTGGGGAGTGAAGTTTTTTGGGAAAAACATGACTGAAACATACCAAAGCCAATTCTGCACGAGTAATCACACAAAGCCATTGTGTTAGTAATGATTAGTATTTTTCTGGTAACTCTCGTCCTCAAATCAGAAAAAGAATCCCTTATAGATATTTAATAGTTTAAGTCCCCTCCAGAGAAGTATTAACAACCTCAGGCTATGCTTGGGAAAAATAAGGAGAGAGAGACACATTCTTAAATGCTGCACAGCAAGTCATTGAAAGAGGCTGGAAGGAAAAAACAGGCTTGTCTTACTATTAACTTGGGATTAAATCAAGAGTGCTTCTTACTAGAAAACCTTTCAGCTCCCATACCCCAAAAGAGTCTCAAAGTTGCATCATGAAAGACATAAGAAATGCAAATACAGTATGCAAATATTTTAGTTGTTATTTTAAACACTGCTTTTGTTATTTTTTCTCTGTCAGCTCATGGCCCAATTGCAGGTTTTGCAGACACAGAGAAATCCATCTTCCTGTCAGCTATGACATATAAATGATCCCTAAATCCTGGAAAAGCTGTCCAGGAAACACACATCGTCTGAAGGGAATTTTTACATCAGCACAGATCTGCCAGAGCAGCACTGCACAAGTCCTGCTCCCAGCCCCTGGCCTGTGATACATGCAAGGAGAGGACATGGCCAGGGAATGCTTTGCTCCAGAACAGGAGCCTACAAAAAGGGCAAAACAAGTCTAAGTATCCCCAGGCCAGGAACTGTGAGTGCCAGAAGCCTTTGAGGGCACAGAGGAAGGTTTAAACCCACTGACTGCATCATGTCATGCCAAGTCTTCATATAGTGTCCACACACAACACCAGAAACATTCTGTAAGGGTTTGACACTTGTGTTCAGTGGTGGAGCTCAAATAACTGCTACCTGTTTTATAAAAGATGTTAATCGGGTGAGGATACACCCAAGTGCTAAAACTTCAGGGAAGAAGAGAGCAGAGGGAGGGAAGAAGAGGAGCCATATTTATGCAGGAGGAAGTTTGAAGGTGGTGTAAGATCCCAAAGAAGGAAAGAGACCTTTTGGCAAGGGCTGTGGAAAGCACTCTTGCAGAATCACAGTCCTGCTGGGGAGCCACCCACAATCTGTTGGCAACACTATAAAAAACAAACAAGATCAATGCAGAGCATACAAAACGCCTCTGCAGAAGACAATTTGGGGAAGGGGGATGAGCTGTTACCTACATCAGCCTTGTGGGAGAGCATAAACTGTTGGAATCCATTTCAGGCTGTTGCTCTGCAAGTGGGGTTAGAGAGGATGAGATCAAAATGGTTGGGAGGCCAGAAAAAGAGAGAGGGTGCTTATGAAAGAACTGCCACGCATTTCAGGTAAGACTAGGGATTTCAGGTTGCCCATTTGAGACATTGTCTCTATTCTACATGTAAACTCAGTGTTTCAAGATATTTTGACCCTAAAAACTGACACAGCTCCTACAGAAGAGCTATAAGAGATGACTGATAAAGAGATGTTCATTTGCATGAGCTGAGAAGACGAGCACTGCACAGCTTCCTCCAGAGCATGTTGATGCAAATGGAGTGGCTTCTTAGAAATAAAAAAGTGTGTTCTTTTTTAAGAGCTCTCTCCTGAACTGTACAGAACTGCTAGTAGGGCTTCATTTATGCTGATGCATGATAAGGTACAGGGATTTTTTTGGTCATAGTATCACTGTAACATCTTCTTCACATGTGGAAATGTGGTAGTTTGTTTGCACGCACATCACGCCATCCATTTCAAGGGAAGGGAAATACTGAGTTAACCTGCCACAGGAGGAGAGGTAGCAGGCTGTGGGAGATGAGAAGAGGTTGAACCACTGAAGAGGAGAGGTTAACCTGCTATATTTTCTTTAGGCTAAAATGTCTAAGTGTGGTCAGCACACATCTGCTGTGTCAAAAATTAAGTGTCCTGTTTTATATATTAATAGACAACGCAAAGGTTATGTGAGTGAAAATGCCTATCTGCATTTTCCTCATGGAAGAGGATCTGCAAAAACATGAAAGTTTGCTATAGAGAAGAAAAACACATGGAAGTAAAGGGAAAAACACACCTTACTACCTATTTTTTTAGGAAGATGGTTATAAAAAACATAAAAAGAGCAAAATTAAAGCCATTTAGTTCAACCAGCTGCAGATCTGCAGAGTGTTCTCCAAATGTGAGATTGTGTCTGATCCATTCCCTCCCCATGTCTCCCTTCTGCAAGTGTTGCCAGGAGTCCCTGATGTGCTTTAAATCTAAATCACCCACACGCTCCCAGGTAAACAATCATTTTAACACAACTCCAAATCTTACGCATAGCAAAGGCCAACTAAATGATATCTGAGATTTCTCCAAGTTATTAACATACCATCCTGGAGAAAATGGCTTGGGCATGTGCTCTGTGGGGCAGAAAAACTGCCCTGGGTCAGACCAGAGAGGGAAAGCAGCCAAGCAGGATGCACACCTCTAATGCCAACACTTCCAGAGGTACTACAGGTTTACTAACATGAGAGTATGGAGTTAGTAGACATACAAAGGCAAAACAGTTAGTTACATTAGTTGGCTTTGTACCTTCTCCTATGAATGGGAGGCTTCTTTATACCATCCCCCAGAACTCGCATTGAACTGAAAATGAATCATGGAGAGTGGTCAGCAGCTTGAATGGAAAAAAAATGAACAAATGGCAGCTAAAGGAATAATATCCCTGACACACAAACAGAGGGAATGGACACACAGGGAAAACACAAAATGAAATACTAAAGGAAGTAATGAGTCTCTGTGTTCCTCCTCTCTATTACAAATAAATCTGGGTTTCGGTTGTTGCATTTTGTACAGAAAGAAGGTTGCAGAGGTATTGATCATGTTGCAACTTTGCTGCTGCCAAAGCCAGGTCAGTTTAAAGTTTAGATAAGGCCAACCTCTTTGACAGAAGCTGTTAGCAACAGTGATTAACACCAGCTCCAGTTCTGCAGTGCTTAATCCACCAGTGGAAAACAGCAGCGTTTCATCCCTCAGCCGGAACGTTAAACACACTGCAGCATTGTTGAAAGACAGGCATTTCAAATCCCCTATGAATGTCAGGAATTAACTGAAGGATGAACATCCTTTTGTGGCAGCCTTGTTGGTTTTCTTTGTGTTTTTAATAGCAAAATGTAGACATGAGGATTATCCATGAAGTTCATTTGAGGAGAGAGGGGAAGCGGAGGGGAACTGAGCATCTTTTCACATTTCATTTAAGATTATCACCTTTTTTTTCAGATCTTTTCTGTGAATAAACATTTACGCTTGTCCCTCTTACAACAGGTAACATGAACAGTGGAAAAGGCCAAATCCTAAAAAAGACTGATTTTTTCCTGTAGGCTTTTTGGGTCCTGTATTAGAAGCTCTATTTAAGCTTGACTTAGCCATATATTTGTCATGAGGGGAAAGACTGTTTTTGGTGTGGATGGGGGCTGGACCAGGCTGCAAGTCCTTTGCTGGGGCAGGAGGCACTTCTTAGAGCTCAACTGATGGTACAGTCTGTCACCATCAGTGACAGACACCTCTTCCTGGCTCCACAGCCCAGTTCTAATCCTTGGTCTGGTTTTGGTGGCAATTACACTTTATTTGGTTAATTTCTGCCCATTTAGTGAGTGCACCCTGCTCACCTACAGAGCAGAGAAGTGCCATGGGTGCCCATGGGAGGGGAGGGAGTGTGGCAGGTGCTGGGAGCAGCACAGATCCAGCACATCAGCAGGATAAACCTTAGCTAAGGCTTGTGCTCTACGTTACTTCACCTTAAAGATTTGCAAAAGGCAAGTTACAATAAGGCTTTTTCCCCATTAAATGAAAAAGTATCTACTGCATATGAAATAAATGAATAAGGAAACACTCCAAATTTAACTGATTTCTATGAAAGTCACTTCTTTGTGCTTCACTTCCTCAGTATTTGTTGTTGCTCACTAAGCAACCAGAGTCTCAACATCACAACAGCCTCATATGAAAAGAACAAGGAAAACAAGAAAACAACAAACCAAATAATCCAAATTCCTTTCTAACAGAAGCATAAAAACAAACAGGAACCGAATCAGCACCATAGACCCACACAGCTTTTCTTTTTTAATTAACCTATGTGACAGCTATCCTTATGTAGCCACAGCTGTATCTGAGAACATAAGAGAACAATTACTGTTCCTTTAACTCAGATTTTCTTACATTTACAATGAATGTATTTTCCCTTATCAGAAACAGCCTCCAAATCTGAGCAGAATTTAACCCCATCTGTTCAGTGTTAGCAGTGATTGCCAACTATGCAGTTTATTACCCCCAGAAATCCTTATGCAACAAGTCCTACACTTAAAAATAAATCTCTGCAAATGAGTTTAAAAGCTTATGGACTCATTCTGTCATAAACCTGAAGGGATGTCATATGCTGACTCTTTTGCAGCTTTAAAAAGACAAGTATTACTTAATTTATGTAAATACTATCTGAGGACGAGGAATCAAGCCCAAAAAAGGGTGACAGTAGTAGAAAACAATAATAATAAATCTTTCACCCTATGTTACTCAGAGGGACCTAAATGTTTTTCAACCTTGACTTTAAAACCTGAAGGGTATACAATATTCCCTTACTGACACCCACTGCTCCTAATGTGTAAAGGATGCACACATTCCTGATGGGAGGCTGCTGCCTCTCCCTGGATTATACAAACAGGACAGCAAAAATTTACCAGGAACCAGTTGTGAGTGGCCAGTTTTAATTTAATGCCATCCATCACTAAATGCAAAGACTCCCTTTCTGTTAAGAGCAGACCTGAGGCCATGAGGATGGCAGCAGGCAGACAAGAGAGCGGCACTGCACTGCACGCCGGGGCCTGCAGCCTCAGTGAGCCGCAGAGAGGAACCTGGCCCTCCTAAAACAACTCAGTTTCAATGCTCTGAAAGCATTAAAACACATTAAAAACACTGGCCAAACCTCCACTGGATTCAGAACATGCAGGGTTTGACTCCAAGTGTCCAGCAGCCCCGATGCTGAACAGAGCATGGCAGGGAACCTTACACCAATTACTGCTTCTTGGTCTGCATCTTCCTTTACTTCATCTTCCCCACTGAGAAGGGGGACTGAGCAACTTTTTCTCCCCCAGTCACTTGGCACCAAAATCTACAGACTCACGTGGCTGTTACACCTCTCCCTCTTGCATCTTCTGAAAGAACAACTGGGAAAACTATTCTTTTGAATCTTCCCAGACACCACCAGGGGCATTGGTGATGAGTTAGGTGGGACTTACTGTCCATGACAGACTGAGGTGGAACCAATTCTGTGAAATAGGGATGACCCACCTCACCACTATGAAGAGCCTCCACACCATTTTTTAAAAGCCTGTGCTATGTCTTAATACAATCAGAGCAATAATGGCCATGTTTATTTTGTGATCAACAAGACTGAACACTCCAATAATTCCCTTAGCAAAGCCCTTCATATAGAAAGGGGTGATGACAGTTCTAATGGAAGACCTGTCCCAAAGTAATTCCATTTACCCTGAAAAGCTTAAGCATACTGTAGGTATTAAGTACTTTAACCCTGAACCCTGAAAGTTAATTTAAGAAAAACAAACAAACATTTGTTAGGAGATTGTCTTCAACCCTTGGAGTGAAAAAGAAATAATCCGAAGTGATGTCTGCACTCTTCTGTTTTATCATGCCAAGCCTAAAGCTCAAATAAATATGCATGAATGGGTGTAAAGTAAATCACAGCAGCTCTACACTCACCTCCTCTGGTTTATTTCTGCTTCGTTGGTGGCATTCTTCCCCGGCCCCCAGCTGTGCCGACGGAAGGGAGACAGTGGCCGCATGGAGTTGCGTAAGACAGAGGAATGGGTGGGCACATCTGTGATACTGTCCAGCTCCTCTTCCTTCTCCCCTCCCTCGGAGGCCACCATGTTGGTGCAGCTGCCATCCAGGCTGTGCCTGTCCTTGGGCTGGGCAAAGTTCACAGTCGGTGGGAAGGGAAGGGATGTGTCGCTGCCCAGGGATGAGTTCCTCTCCAGGGACATAGTGTCATCTGCAGAGGAACTGGAGCTGGTGACATCACATGCAGACTGCTCCTCTTCAGGCTGCTGTGGGCAAGAAAAATTAAAAATATATCAGAGTAGAATCATAGACTGGTTTGGGTTGGAAGGGACCTTAAAAGATCAGCTAGTCCAACACCCTTGCCATGGGAAGGGACATCGCTCACTAGATCAGGTTGCTCCAAGTCCCATCCATCCTGACCTTGAACACTTCCAATTCAGTGAATGCATTTAGCATTTTAAATAAATGCAAATATTTTATATTTCACATGAGCTGAGAGATTTCTTAGTTAATAGCTTAAGGCAAATTAACCATCACAGAACCGAGACCTTTTGCTTTGGTTTCCAAAGAGGGTCAAATGCTCTGCAGGGTGATCTCTTCCACCCTTGGCTGCCATAACCCTGGGCTCCCATCTCAGGTCCTCTGCCTGCCTTCCTCTCCCCAATTCCATGTTTCATCCTGCACAGCAAATCCTCTTCCTCTCACCATTTCTGGCTAAACCTGTTATTGATCAAGATGCCATAAAACTGCCAAAGGTTTACTGAGAGCAAGTAATGGGGAACTGGGTCATCACAACTCCTGATGACAAACTCCAGCCTCTCCTGTGAGACCGGGATGGGCTTGTAGAGCTCAAGGCCAATGCACTGTTCTGCTGCATCATGCAGCACAAAAGGGACAGTTACTCACTAGCAGAAAACAGACAGAAAAAAATAAAAGCTTAAATCCCTTTCCCCTGCTACTTTCCATTAAGCAGAAAGTTAATGCCAGGGTTTGCAGTATTTTTCAAATCCAACTGTAATTAAAAAAAATATTCTACAGGATCAGCCACCCTGTATTACAGGTCTCGAGTCATACTGCAATTTTTGGGTTTAGTTTGCTCAAAAAACAGTATGTAGAAGTCAAATTGGTTCTCTTTGGCCCAAGGCCACACGCTGACCATACAGCCTGAGAAGAGCCCGTGTGCATTCTGCATTCCCCGTGGCTAACATAAAAAACACAAGCATCTCTCTGACATCACCTCCAGTCTGAAATGGTGTTTGCCCTGAGGGACCAATGTGGGAAGTTTCAATTTATCCTCCTGCAGAGCCCTGTGCTGTATCATTTAAAATAATAATAGTCAGAATGCTCTTGTCAGGCCGTGTACAACAGACTATTCAGCAAAGCCACAGCGGGTAATTGTCCTCAAGCAGTGGGCTCAGAGGGCTGGGCAGAAGCTGAGCACTGGAGGAGCTGCAGGCTGTCAGCTCTCATTTGGCAGAAGACTGTGGGCTACAAAATCCCGTTCTCAGAAGGGAGAGATGGACATCAGAACCCATGGAGGGCAGGATGAACAGAAGCAGTGCTGTCTCAAGGAAGTCCTGACCTTGGATCCCACCCCACTGACTTTGTTCAACCCCAGCAGTGTTAAACACTCCAGAGACTTTTGCTTTTCTGTGCTCTTTTTGATGGGCACACATTTTAAGCTAAAAACATTTTATTTAACTGAATAAAAAGAAACTGGGATGTTCAAAAAATGTTCTAATCAAATATTTCACTATTTAGAGGGAAGCCTTGTTTCATGCTTAGCTATTTTTTATTCTTAGAAGTTTATTTTTACTCTTACAATTTTAACACACAGTTATGTTCCTAAGTTGGTTTAAATAAATGCTGTCACACTATTTCCCTTCTTATATCCATCAAAGGGAAAGAGAGAAAAAAGAAAAACGGCATCCACAGGACAACACCAAAGAACAACATACCTTCTAAACACAAAATATTAAAAGACACACACTAAAAATACATCCCTCCCCAAACATTCATTTCAAGGTAAGGTACGTCAAATATTAATGGGAATTTCTGTAAACTCTATTCTGTAAACTACTGGATTTGACAGATTTGAGTAGGAGCGTAAGTTAAAAGAAAAGGGAACTGAAATGGATGGCCTGTGAAGGTTTTGATGTCGTTTGGCATTATTCAAGATAATCTGATAGTTGTGTGAGTCATTATGAGAGCTCACTGAATTGCTTAAATACAAACCAATCAAGTAGTCATTATTTGGATAATACTTCTGCAGAAGAGGAAACAGTCTGCTTCACTTCTGTGAGACAGGAAAATACTGTCAGACATTAGGTCAGGCTGGAGGGGACTTTGAACAACCTGGTCTAGTGGAAGGTTCTCTGCCCATGGCAGGGGGTTAGAACCAGATCATCTTTCAGGTCCCTTCCAACCTAAACCTTTCTAGGACTCTGTGATTGGGGCAGCACAGCAGGAGAGGAGAGGACTGTGCAAAGTGTGGGACAGTTTGGAAACACTCAACCTGGATGCAAATCTAGCAACAATAGTGCAGAACACCAAATTATTTATGGAGGAATCAGAGTAAAAAAGAGGAATTTTTATTTCCCAGATGAAAATACTGCTCCAGTTAAAAATGGAGAACAAAACCCACTTCCCTAACAAGGAAGATTTAGGGCTGCTATAGTAAAAAGCAGTTCAAGGAGATACTTGAAAAAAAGGGAAATAAATGTGGTCCCTTTTAACTTTTACCTTGAGCATCAGACTGACGACAGAACATAATAAACAATTCCCTTGAACTTGTGGCCCATGCTTATTCCTCCAAAAATATTCTGCCTTCATTTCAATGACTTTTTTTCTTAAACAAAGAAAACAGTTAATATGAAAGAGGACTCTGTCTGCAAAATGCCAAATGTGGCTGACACATCTGAAACATCTATATTGTAGTCACCTCTGCAAAAAATTAGCTATCTGGCCAAGGGCCAGTAAATATGCATTGCTCTTTAATCCTATTTGAGTAAAAAAAGACACTGTTTGCTGAACAGAAATGTGTTCTTTTCCTACGAGAAAAGTGAAACGTTAAAGAAATATTAATTTTCTTCAATTTAGGCTTGCTGGATTGCACCTCAACAAATTAAACCCTTAACTATGACCATAAACCTCATGGCTGAAAAGAGCTTTTACAGATATTTGCTAATGGGCATTTTCTTTGCTCTCAGAAACAGTACTTGGTGAGATGCTAGTAAATAAAAATCAGATAAGGCATAAAAGGGAGTATTCTGAGAAAGAAAACATGTGCTTCTTAAAGAACAGGGATAAGAGAAATCACCGGGATGGTCAGGGTATAAAATAACTTCTTCAACTAAATCCCTCCACTGTAGGAGGTCTTGATAAGGGGAATTAAAATGCTCTTTCAATCATTGCCGTGATGACAACATTCAAAGTGCTGAGACACAAACTTTCTCTGTCACCTGATCTTCCATGTGACAAAGACATTAAAGGTGTTACAGTATTTTTTAAAAGAAGATGAAAAAAATTAAACCTTGGCATCCTGAAGTTTCCTTGGAATACCTTTACACTAAAGGTATCAAGCCAACATCTTTGGTTGGCTTGACATATATTTCAGCAGAATCAATTTTTAGTTGGATTTGCCTATGGCTCCAGGTTCCTAAAATTAACCTCAGTAGTGGCCTCCTATTAATTATTTATCATAACTTTTATGATTTGGAGTGGAGGAGCCTTCCCCTTGCTGTTCAACCTTTTAATCCTTTAGGTTTGTATTTTCTGCATGGCTGTTGGGGGTTTTGTTTGTTTGTTTTTATAAAAGAAACAATAATTCTGAAAAATAAATGCAAAATATTTGTGTGTTTGTGTGTTTCCTTGAGTAAATCAAAACAAAGGCAGAAATTAAACAAAATTCAAGAAGCTGACTTGCAGCCCCTTCCTCTGGAAATGTATCTGTGGGCTCCTGACTCCCTTTGCCTGAATCATTTCCCAGGAGGCACATTAAAAAACTTCCCAGTAACACAGGATTTCGGTGGCAGGGTAAAAGTTAAGATGAGCAAAGCGTATGGGCTCCACCCCAGGATGTTGCCAGATGATTGTGAGAGATGACCTTATGCAGCATTAATCATTCAAGAAGGAGGGTGCTGCAAAGCCTGCCCAGATGGCTGTCTGAGATGGAGAAGGAAAAGCAGGATGACGAGGAAATGGCAATGGAGCACTGACACAGAGAAAACAAAACACTTTGCTTAAGCCATAGACTTGGAAGCAATTTCTGGGTCTCAGTGACAGCCTCTAAAGTCTGAAAAAACAAGGCAGGTTTTAGTGCTAAAGCTCCCCGAACCCCGCAGCTCACGTTACACAGCTCAGCACAACATCCTTCAGGAAGAAAAGAGACAAGCACAGGAGAGGGCAAGGAGATGGTACAGAGCACACACCAGGCACCAGGGACAGGTTAAGGTACCTGCAGATTTTGTGACCCCATAGACCCCAATGCTTCATGGCCCAGGGACAGAACCAGGGCTTACAATCTATACATTTCAAGTGATGTCTATGGAAACAGCCCAAAGACCCTGGACAAACAACGACTTGTTCTTCCAACAGTTTTCTTTCATGTATTAAGCAGTTAACAAAGGAGTTTTTTCTACAATAAAAAACCCAATCCTAGTAGACAAAAGTTCAACTCTTGCTCCACAGAAAGGAGAAACAAGAACTGGACTAGTAATAACAATAATCACCGTGACACCAAAAGGTTCAAGATCCTCTTTTTGTTCATAAACATATTCTCTCTCTTCCCAATTTGATATGGAAATTGTACTATTTAATAGGTTTATAACTAATCAACTACACCAAAAACATGCATCTTACAGTATTTTTCAGAAGAAAGATCACTTATTTTAGTGGTTATTAAAAATATGTATAATTTGCATTTCTACCAGCTGGGCTCAGTAGTCTAAAACCAAAGAAGATTTAATTAAGGAACAAGCTCACAATGCTAAACTAGTGTCTCTGGTCCTCCTAGAAATAACTTTAACTGTAGAAAAGGTACTCAGATAAATCCTTAGAAAGGAGACAAGGAATCAAATTAGTCAGCCAATTGGAGACAAATAAAGTGACTGAGGTTGAGATTAGCTTTGAATAACTTCCTAAACTCAACTCAGGAACCTTTCGAAGCCATTTGCAGAAGTCGTCTGCAATCCACCACATAATGAGAGCAATGCAAAGGCTGCCAAATTAAGGAATTCTCTTTCTACAAAGAAAACAATTTCCTCCCTTTGCCCTCTCTCCACTGGCAAATGAAGATCTGCTTTCCCCACCACCTCTTCCTTTCCCTGCAGCATCCCTGCTACATTGCACAACCTGTTCTTTTTACGTTTCAATTTTCTTTCTTGCATTTGGAGAAGGTAACTTTCCAAATATAAAAGGGGAAAAAAGATAAAATTCTGTATAGTATAAAACTTGCTGTGTTCCCACAGCACTATTCTCCTACACATCCCCATACAAGCATTAAATCAAGCTCAAATGGCAGTTGGCTGTTGGAATTTGTGCCACTCTGCACAAGAAAACTGAAGACAAACAGCTCTGACAAACAGCCTTATATTCCCACAATCCATGGTCCCGGATCCCTTTGAGAGTAAGATGGGAAAGGGTGAGGCTGGTGAGCTCTGTGCCCTACCACATGCATTAAGGATGACTTTACTGTTCATTTATAGCACATGAGATCACTTAGCCTGGGCTGTGGTGTTTCCCGTCCTGCTGGAAAATATTTGCCATCATCTGATTTGATTTCAGCAAACAGAATTTTGTTTTATTAAATATATTTCTCTGAAAGCAAGTGTGAAAGCTACTCCAAAAGTTTAGTTTTTCAGTGCAGGAGCTGCACCTGCTCAAACCGGTGAGATGGAGCCGCACCAAAGTGTGTGATGGAGACCAACGTGATGGCTGCTCTAAAGAAGGTTCACATCCCTTTGATTCTGCATCACTGTATTCTTTCTGGGTGTTTTTTCATCATCTACTTATGGCAAGAAAAGTATAAATAATCAGCTAGACAATTCTTAAAGAGCAAAAACCTAATCACCTTCTGAATACATTCTGGCTGCTCTGATACAGACGCAAAAGGCTGATGCCAAAAACCTCTGCTCAGGAGGCTGACACTGTCTCTCAGGTCTCTCCCACTCCTCAGCCATGAGCAACACAAAGGGCACAGGGATGACTAAGAGTAGTAATGACTTCTGCTGTTGATTTTAAGTAAACTTGAAAACATTTTCATTCTACTTGCACGCAAACAGGCATTAGAGGTATGTCGCCTAGGCAACAAAACTATTCCCTGGAATTGGCCTGAAGTATTTAGAGTGAGTGTTTCCTTCCTATCACACTGAATTTACAGAAAAACACTGGTTCCTCTGAGAATTACAGTATATAAATCTAGAGGTGTCAGCACAGAGGTCATCGTTTGCTGGAGAAAAGCTCTTTGTTACATGGGTTAAAGATGGATTTCATATCGTCTGTGCAATCCCTAATGACCTTGCAAGAAAATCCACCTTTTCAACTGTTCCTCTGGTGCCTGATTTACTTTTGGACAGACAAAACTACTTTCATTTTTTTTAACACTGGGGGCTACAGTTTTTGGAATTATGCTGCAAGTAAATATATCCCTCATGTTGCTGCATCTGAGGAGGAGACCGGATCCTTCCCATCTATTTCTTTCCAGGATAATCGTTTCCAGGTTTCTAGTTCACCAGTGAAACCAAGATGATCTCCATTTGCAGTATGGGTTTATCAGATCAGGCCTCGGAGGTTTTTTAACCATATCCCAACCGGGCTTTCCTACCTTTCCAAAGACAAGGTCTTCCATCCCATCACCAGACAAGGGGAAGAGGTCAGACTCGCTCCCGGACTCTCTTTTAAGACCACCCTGTGACGAGGCACAGACACCACTCAGCCCATCCTCCAGGAAGTTCTCACATTCTGTGGGAGCAAAGCAGAAAGAGTTATGACCTGATCCGTTCTGTAACATCCACACATCCAACTTGCACACTCTCAGTAAACTCCAGGATTTAAACCAACAGCTTTATAACTTGTGCTCATCTCCCAAAAACATGCATGCGAGTTCTCAATTTATTCAAGAGTTTAAAACTCCTTTTTAATGCATCATTGAAGTACATGGTGCAAACTGAAATTCTGCATGAAATAGCCAGAAGCACTTGTAGCTTAAGGTGTTGATAAATATGCTACATATCAGGTATCCCACACAGGGGAAAAAGGAATGTTTCCCATTGATTGTAACAACTGCAAAATTAGGTTTGTATTCAATACATGTAGAAATATAACTTGACTGTATTTACTTTCTTTCTCAATTAAAGAATCGATTCCCTCTAAATGCCAAGGTCTTCTAATGCATATCTGGTCGATTATTTCATTCCCTCTTCTACACTTCTCACTGAAAAAGCACTAGTGTGACTTCCATGACAAACTTCACTTCCTTAAGATTCAAAAATTAAGCAATTTTTTAAAAAACTCTCAGTTTTTGTAACTCCTGACATTGAAATGTAAGCACGTTGCACCTCTTCTTTCTCAAACACTTTCAGCTGCTTGCTTTGGGCTGATCAGCAGCACAGGAACTAGACTGCAGCCCCTGTGAAAACCCTTCCTTTCCAAAACCCTTAACAGACAAGTATTTGCACACAAAAAAATGCCTGTATATAATTTCATCTGTTCAGTCTTCAGGCAAAAGTATTAATGACAATTTTGGCAAAACCTGAATATTCTTTGCTCCCAGCTCAAAATATTTTCTAATTATTAGTATTTTTTAATAAAAAAAGAAAGGTGTTACTTTGTAACCTGCTCTAACTAAACATATCCAAAATGTGCTCTCTTGTCTGAAGAAGAGCCAGGGCAATAAAATACTGGTTTGCTCTTAAATTACATCTGACTAACTCTGTCCTTGGTGACGTCAAGCTTAAACATCAATGCAAGGACGAGTCTGGGAAGCTTGAAGTCATCGCTTTCCCTTCCCCATCCTTAACCTGTGCCTGACAGCAGCTATCGAACACTCCAGCCGTATCCCCGCTGATGGGAGTGACTCCTCTGCTGGAGAAAATAATATTACTTTGACAGTGGTGGGGCTGTCCCCATTTAGGGTAGGGGGAGTCTGAGCCAGTCGGAAACCCCATTACCCTGTAGAGGAGTTTCCACCACAGAGAATTGGAAAAACACTTATTGGATGCTGCAGCTGCTCCTGTTCCCCTTTCGGTAAACCTGGAAAATCTGAACTGCTTTTCCATCACCGAGCGGGAGAAGGGAGGGGGAAGAGAAGAAGAAAGTGGGGGAAAAAAAAAAATGAAGGGAAAAGCAAAGACAAGACGGAGCTGCTGTAAGGGAACGGGCCAGGGTGCCGGCCATCCAGCTGGCAGCCAGCAGAGCATGTCCACAGCCCAGACTGAAAAACAAAGGGGCTCAAGCCACGTTCCAGTGGAAAATCAGCAGGGACAGTCCAGATGTGCCGAGAGATGGATACCTCACCCTGATGATAAATCATAACAGGCAGTAAAGTCTCCTCCGCTGGAGCCTCCCAGGGACAGAGGACATGAAGTGTTGGGGAAAGATGATGAGGAGCAGAGAGATGGGGACACCCCCACACCTCAGCTCATGTGGGATGAGAAACTGATTCCCAAACCCTCTTTTTCCTCCCTCCTCCTTTATTTTCTTCTAGGGATGTGTGTATCTTCTCTCCCTTTTTCACAGTTAGTTGGGTTTGTTTGAGCTGCACATACACTGCACAACGCTGAGCTCCATCTCCACACCTGCCCTGGCAGCCTGGTGACAGTGCTGGTGTGACACAGGGACTGTGACACTGACTCTTGGCACCCATACAGACACACACACTCCCTGTGCACTGCACATGCTGGAGTTACAGCACAGCTGTGCTGCTCTGTTCCTCTCAGGTGAAAACACAATGATGATTGGAATGCATTTCTGCACATCGTTTAGAGGCAAAAAAAAAATCACACAGAACAAAGAAAGAAGAAAATTTCCATGCAACTCCCTTCTGTATATTCTCCAAACCCTTGTGTCCTTCAAGCCAGGGCTGAGCCCTCCAATTCCATGCTGATAACTATATATCTGCTACACTCCTCTATGCACTTGATTTCAAAAGCACTGACAGAAAATGAGAGGCTCCATTTTCTGGAGGTGCCTTCTCAGATCTGAGGACTCTGACCTTACAAGCCATTTCAGCAGGATTATTCAGCATATGAAACAGGCCTACTTCCTTATCAAGTAATGTATTTTTAAGCTAACCACATTATAACAACTAGTGGTTTTACTGCTGTTAGGCATTGCCACATTCCTCTTGCCCTCTCTACACTGCCCAGGACCACAGAGCAGCTGGAGGATGTGTGTGCAGTAATGGCATTATTTCCAGAAAGGCCAGAACCTGCACATTAATCTACATAAAAACCTGCCTCTTTGTGCTTGTGCTACAGACACTTATTACTACAATTATTAATATAAATTTGTATATACAGATATCTAATTACATAACTGTTATAATATTTCTATAGCGTGATATTGCATTAGATAACTAATAGGTGTGCAACTGATACTGATCCATAAGAACGCATGATTACAGATTTGGCAATTCAAATGAGTGCATGTAGTTTTGCAGATTAATGGAGTGCAATAACACTTGCCTGAAGCATAAAAACCTAGTACCAAAAGGCAAGGGATTTGAGGATACAATTAATAAAGAAGCAGCATGGCAATACCACAGGTTCTCCTGTAAAAACACTCTTGAAACAGCTATTCACTATTCTTCTAAATAGAACAATTTTTTTTTTAATAAAAAAGCACTTATTTAACTTTGATGGGAGCTAGAACTTTACTTAGAGTAAAAGCCTTGAGTTAGTAACCGACATTAGGCCTTCTCAGCCTACACTCTCAAAAGTTTTGGTTTGAATTTAAAATTGAAACTCAGTCTTTTTTTTTCCAAGTCTCTCAGATAAATTGAAAGAGATTTGGGTTAGACCACTGCTCATAAGGACAGCAAGGCAAGAAGCCTCCTCTCTACCAACAGTTCAAGTAAAGCCCCTATTCAGGGCCCTAATAAATTACTCTATTTGTTTTGAACACGCATAATCCAACGAAAGGAAATGCATTTTTTCTTATCTTGGACACCAACCCCTCTTTGAAGCTTGCCCAGACAAGATTTTCTGTCCCAGTGGAGGAGCCAGAAAGCCCCACCAGCACACAGGGCTGGGAGCTCGGCATGGCCGGTGGGCAGGGTGTGGGAATGATGGCTCTGAACAGCCTTCCTGCTTCCTGCAGCCTGGAATCATGGCAACTTTCAGAGAGGGGAAAAAAAAAATGATCTGGTCTAAATAGGGATTCAGGAGTTTGAATTTCTGGCTTTTTTTTTTTTTTTTACTGTATTAGGGTTAGCTAAAAGTAGGTCCTTTTAGCTAAAATCCATGTCTGTAAAAACCATGTGCGCCCCACTGTACTTCTGAAGTTTATTCAAAAAAGAGGAAAAAAAAAATCAAAATACTGAAGTACTCTGAATGCACAATTATCTGAGGAGGTGACACACCACACAGCTCCCTGCAAGTCAAGTGCTACAGCCATGTGCTAACAATGACTCACAGCACACTCATCACACGGTGCCTTCAGTTTATGTGTTTTCCCCGTCAAGGCACGGATATCAAAAATAAGAAGAGCAAGAAGGATAGAGAAGGTGAGGGGAATGGCTGCTGGTCTGGAGCTGCCACCAGCACGCTGCTCACCTGGAGACTCCCGCGTCCGCTTGCGCTCCAGCAGGGAGGGATCGGGACATGGCTCCAGCGAACACCAGCTCTCGCGGTTTATCTGGAAAACAGACCAGAGCACATCAAGCAAAGGCCACCACTCTTGCCAACACCCGTCAGTCTCTTTTGCAATGTCCCTCTACATCGACCAGCAGATACAGAGTTATGGCTTAATTTTTTCCCAATAATGAAAATGTCAAAAGTAACATAAGATTTTTTTAATTTTCTTTTAGCATCACTAAACAAACCATTAAAATATGCCAAAAAACTTTATTTCTCTGTGGAAAGTTTGATTTCAAGGTGGCTCCCACCCAAGGAAGGAGTTCAGAGGGAGGATGAGCCAGAGTTTAAGCTACCAGTTGAGGACTAAACAGCCCTGGCTTCAACTCCCACTTCCATCTGTAGCGGGACTGCAGGCAAAATATTCCTCTGCTTTATGCCTCAGTTCACTTCCAACAGAACAGCAATTCCTTACCACCCACACTGCTGTACAGACAATCACCTCAGAGATAGCAAGGTGCTCTGATGCTGTGGAAATGAGGGCTTGGGAAGTGCCCAGGTCATGGTGAGAACAAGAAGCACTTTGGGTTTGCATTAACTGAAATGATGATAGAAACGCCCATTTTAACACTAAGACACATCACATGGTTTATTTCAACAGCAGCCCTTATCATCTTACCCTGTCCCTCACCCTTTCCATGACTCCCAGTCTTTCAGCAAGGATGACTGATCTGTTCTCAGTCTTCTCCTCCCTCTGCCTGTGCTTTCATCTTCCTCACTCAGGTTGTGCTGTCCAACATTTTGACTCCAAAGTCTGCTGAACTATCCACAACCCTTGGTCATCCAACACTTGCTTCCCATCACTTTTGTCTCCAGCCGGCAAACTCTGGAAGCCCCTTTACTCTCTCTGCTGTTTCTTCGAGGCAAATGCCTTTAATATGTCAAATGCATGCAAATCTCACCTGTCCCACACAATGAAATCCAGAGATTATTTCCCCTCCTGACCTGCCTCAAACACACAGGATCTCACATGTTAAGTTGTAGCTAAAAGGAAACTACTGAAATGGATGACTTTGCCTGATATATCAATTGTTTTCTTCTACCCTCTCTTTGGTTTTCGTTTTCTCTCCTGAAATAATTTCCTTTTCTCTATGTCAAATAGTGAATTTTTACTATTTAGTTTTAGCCTCGAACCCATGTTCAAACCTCCTCTGTGACCCTGCTCTATTTTTGCAGTCCCTTGCTGGATTCTCATCCTCTCACTGGTCGTCTTTCTCCTATGTTATGAAATGCACTGGTTTTGCCTTTTTATTCTTTTTTTTTCTTCAATAAAGAAAAATCAAGACTCTCCTACCCTTGACCTGACAGGATGCTTTGACTAATGACCCACGTCCTTGTTTCCTTTCTCGCTGAGATCATGGAACTTGTTACTGCAGTTGTTGGCTGGTGCTCCTCACTGCTCTGGCTGCGTCCCCTGCCTGTCACCCCAGGGGCTCCAGCCAGCACCTCTGCTCACCTCCTGCTCTCCACTCCCCCTGACCTGTCAGCTACTTTCTACAGCACATTTTTCTTCCTCAGGTTTTGTCCTCCTCCATACTTCTGGGATGACAAACAGGCTTGGAAGGGCCTCTGACAGGTCAGCTAGTCCCTTTCCGCTGCTCCAAGTCAGGCTCAATTATCATCTGAGAGGTCTTAATCCAACGTGCCTTTAAAATCCTCCAGTGGCGAGGATGCCGTGACCTTCTCCAGTCAGCAGTTCTTGCTGACAGAGACAGGGAAGGAGCAAAGAAGATCTGAGAGGGGTAAAACGAGCAGGAGTCTCCGAGAAGAGGTAAAGGAGACACTGTGCTCTGCTGGAGTCAAGTGTCCGGGGCACCTCAGTGCACATCCCACATGGACATCCTTCCCCACTTCCATCCAATTTTACAGGTTGTTTTGCTTAGATACAATGTACACTTCCTAGCAGTTACTCACTGACTCTGTTTATACATATATATTATATACACATTAATCCAAGATCACATTACACCCCGCTATGCACACACATCTAAAATCCCAGCCTTCCCTGCACCTCTTCTCAACACACACACCTGCATATCCATCTTCTCCCTTTTATATACAGCACATCCATATTAAATGAGAGGTGGAGAGGGAAAGAGAAGCAGTCTGAAGTCTGAGAAGGGTTTTTGTAATCAAAAACTCAAACCAATGATTTTTTTCTTTTTCCAAAGGGACACAAAGATGTTGAATTTTAACTGTTACATGGACAGTGGGTCACCATTTGGATTCTTTCAACAGAAGACACTCCCTGTTCTCAGTGAGGCTGTATGGTATTGAACCTGAGCAACTGAACTTAACCGCAGAATTTATTCTTTTTTAGTCTTAAAAGAGCTGCAAAGTCAATAAATACCACTTTATGACTGTAAAATCAATAAATATCATGTTATTATCCTTTTCTCTCCAGACAAAGCAGAATCTATTTGCACCATGGTTTCTTACATTTTATTAAAGGCAAATCTAGAGGTTGAGTCTGAACACATGGAGAAGGACAAATGCAAATGTGCTGAAGTCCACACAAATGAAGGAACAACCCAATTCAGATACAAAATCAAATTCTGCCTCCTTCTGACTGGCTTGCACCTCACTCCTTCCTCATCATATCGAGTCTGACCCTTCATACTTTTAAACAAATCTCCATTAAATTTAAAGGAACTACTCCTGATTTTTACTGATATCCACTAAGGGAAACCAATAATTAAAGATCCCAATCAATAATTAGCAAGAAAGTAAAATATAAGGAGGTTCAAGCTGTCTGTTGAATAAACTATATTAGGGTGAATTAACATTATATTTTTGCCCTTAACAGAACCAATTGAGTCATTCACTGAAAATGCATTATAGACATTGGCACTTTTTCAAAAAAGATTTGAGTATTTTTCCCATTTCCCAGCCAGCTCTCTCCTCAGCCCTGTGGCTTTGCCAAGTATTGAAAACGTCTGCTTTTTTCTGTTAAAAAAAGTAATGAGAGAGTAACACTGAGGCTTAAGGTGCTGCTTCAGATATGCCTTATTATGTACAAAATAAAACATTAAAACTAAATATTTATCTCAGTAGCCCTAATTCAGGAAAAACAATAATCACCACCATCAAAACACAAAGGAAACCACTACTATATACAAGTATTCCCTATGCCAAAACGAGCCCAGACAGGATTTGAGGGAGGTTTACTGAGTGCTCTCAGGAAACTGGGTGGTCTGTAGATACTCAAAACACAAACCCCACTATCCACAGCTCAACACTGATTACTGGGATCCCTCCTCAACACCTGAATTCTGTTTGTGTTTACTCAGGACTAGTGACTACAGGTACAAACAGTAAGGGCTGGAGAGGAAATTACCTTTATACAAGCACCTAAACATCAGGAGCCGGGTAATGCACCAGTATGAAAAAATTCGAAATGAGGTTGTCTTGGGATTTTGTGGACATGTGAGCATTACATGGGATAAAACTATTCCTCCCTTCTTCCCTCAGTCTCTGTTTAGCTGAGAGAAGCCCAACGACAGGACCACAGGCTGGTGGCCACAGAAGATGATAAAAGCCTCACACACTCTCTGATTATAGCCCGCTGATTCCAGGCATCCCAAGTCTTTGCGGTGGGAGCGGAGGATGCTGTGGTGTTCTGATGGCAGAGGGAATATGAAACAGCCTCTGGGAACAGAGTTTCAATACAGTTTTTGAAGAAATGCCAGGAGAGAACCAGCTATTTTCCACACAGAAGCCTGAATGTGTTTATCTGCAGCTCAGACACAGAATGAATCATGGAAGCACATCCCCAGGCACAAAAGACTGAATCCCAAAGGATTTTGTGTTTGCCTGTGAAACACTAGCAGACTAAATGTTCAAAGAGGGCTTTAGGACACCAGCTGGAGCTGCGAGCAGCCGACGGTTCGATTGCTCTTTCTGGGCACACACACGTATTTCCTGACTCTGAGACCTCTTCCTGCAGACATTGAACTTGAAACTTAATGTGACTTAATGGAGAAACCTCTTTGCATAAGAAAAGGCCGGTGCTGGACAACCTGTGAGACAAAATAGGGCTGGGGTGTCCTCCATCTCGCAGGAACAATGAGTGACCCCAGACTCTGTTCCCAGGCTCTTCTTTCCTCTCCCCCTGCACGAGGGTCTTGTCCAAGGAGTTATCTAATCTCCTGCAGTGCTGAAGTCCTGTGTGGTGCCTGCCCGTGAAAACCAGGGTTGGGATCTCCTTCTCAAAGACATTTCAAAAATATCTACTTCTGGCAGAGCAGTGTGCTGGAGGGTCCCTAGGAACGGGCATCTCGGGGGCCAGTGGCTACCTGGCTCCCATGCACCTCTCCTACCTTTCCAGCATAGAAAAGTCCTTTTCTCTCCCTCTGGCTTTATTTTAACTCTTCTTGCCTTCCATCTCACAACAAAGAGAACACAGTGACCTCTCAGGAAATCTTCCACTATTTTAAAAGTTTGCAGTTGCCAGCCTCACTGGTAGTGATATAAATCAACACCTCCAGAGCAGAAGGAACCATATGAATTTAACTTTCATTTCCTAGCAGATCTCTAGAGATTCCTCTTCCCTCCATATTGTTTTAACTTTGTCCTAAATTTACAAGTTTCCATTTCTCTCCTTTTCTTTCTCCAGCTTCCTGACTAAGATCTACATTGCAGTTAAAACCAGATACTACTGCACATAGGAAAATACTTAGGAGACTAATTCTAGCTTGCCTAGTGTTTCATTAGGTACCTGTACACTTACTGAGCAACAACTGACATACCAGGGAAGATTTGAAATATCCACTGTAGAACAAAAATAGTAGAAAAAAAGCACAAAATTTTAAATTCAATTATAACTAATTTCTTTAATAGTGAGAAATCATACAATGACTTTTTTTTTTTGAAAAAAATGTATGTAAACCCTAATTTTTTTCTAGGAACTCCCTGTTCCTGAAAATTTCCTGTAGGATAGTTTCATTGAGGAAATTTGTACACATAACTGGAATTCAATGTTTATACTGAACAACTTTAAAC